AAATGATAAAATTTAGATATTTTTTAATTTTAGTTCGGAGGTTTATTTATATTTAAGCCACACACACACATATATATATATATATATGAAGTGATAAAATGGGAAATGAAAGAAAAAGTTGGAGCTTGAGTGCTGTTAGTCTTAAGGGCAATAATAAAAACACTTTCCATAGCTTTTTGATTTGTTTAATTTTTCATGTACTCACATGTTCATTATCGTGATTTAGAATGTCAAAAAGAGAACCCAAAAATAAAAAAGAATTGGATGTGTGTTGTTTAGAAGGGATTCCTCCACATGGGAAGAGAACAATGGTGGCTTTGCTTGCTGGATTTTTATGCCCTTAGCTCCTTATTCTTGATGCCAGCTATAGAGAGTACTGATCCAAAATAATGGGGCACCAACCAAAACCATCATGAAATCAAACCCATGCCTTTAAAGCACATAGCCCTGAATTTATAGGTCATGTTTAAAACTTTATATAGTGCAGAAATGGCTGGCCCCTACTCTATATGTACCATAAAATAAATCATATATATTGCTGATTGCAGACATCTACTTCCCCAAAGGCCAAAAGCTTTTTTTTTTTTTTTTTTTTTGATTGATGGAGTAAAATTCAGGAGAATAAGCTAAGCCACTATAGGAAGCTTTCTCCTTTGCTTGTCCAAATTTGATATATAGCTACATCATTTTATGCCATTATTAGGTAAAGTTGTAGCTTTAATATCAAGCATAAGCTTGAATATATACCAATGAAGAAAATATTTTCTCACTTTGTGCTTCTGAAAAGAAAAGTAATGGTGTACAAAATCAGGCTTTAAATAAAAATGATTGAAATAACATGGATAAAGTTAATCAAGTCAAATTTATTGAAGAGAGTAGGTTAGGCTGACTTATTAATTTTTGAAAATATTTTATGGTATTAGATTTTTTATTTTTGAAAGGGAGGATCGAACTTGACCATTAAGCAGTGAGAATTTTACATTTTACCGTTGAATCAATAGTTTAAGTGATATAATTTTAGAGTCGAAATAGGTATAAAATAAATCATAAATTTAGTTTATTTAGTTCGTACAATCACTCTTAAAAAATAACATTTAATAAATTTATAATTCAAATTTTAACACTTGTAATTTTTTTTTTTTTTGATCTGTGGCCTCTTTTATTAAAAAAATTATAAAACCATCTACCATAGCATTCAAGACAAGACTTTTGGATAACTATATATATTCCCTTGATGGATGACATTAAGGTCTCAATATTCTTTGAGAAAATCTTTGAATTAACTTTCAGTAAAGAATAAAAGAATTTGGTTAAGTGTAGCTATGTTGTTATGTAGTTAGATGGTTTAAAAAGTTGTGTAAATATGCCTTTGGAATTTCCTTAAATGTGAACAAGTGAATGTCAAAAGTGTATGACTGACCTCATCTGACCTTCACCCCCTTTTTTGTCCTCTCCTCTCCTCTTCTCTCCTGTTAAATCCAATTGTCATGCTAATGCACCGATGACCGAAGTGTGGAGAAAGGGCAGTGGCTTGCTTTTTGGGTCAACACTCAAGCCTGACACTGGCTGATGAGTTGAAGTGATGAACCCAAGGAGGAGCAGCCCATGTACTCGAACCACATTTTAGTTTGGGTTCCAGTAAATTACACAAGGAATTTAGAAGCCCAACAGTTTTCTTTTCTTGGGAGGTGACAAATGCTTTGAGCTTAGTAAATAAGAAAAGACAAACGATGATTTGCTTTTTAGGGATAAGAATGAGATGTTGTTGTGAATCATAGATCATAGTATAGACGCAAGCCACACATATTATATATATATATATATATATTAATTTCATAGCAAATCTCTGAAACCTGATGGGGTGTCAACAAAGTTATATAAAGGTAAAAAACATAGCTTTTTGAGGACACGCTAGGAAACACAGCACTATATGTGTAGCTGGAATCGCCACGTTTAATGACTTTAACCAAGTAAACTTTTCATATGATAATTCTTTTCAATTCCAGATTTTCTTTTTTTGTTTCATTACAAAGCTAATTCCCAGGCATGTAACCGACACGTCCAAAATTCCCCCCCTTATCTGATCATTTTTTCTTAGAGAGCTACTACCCCCATTGATGGCCCAAGATTGAGTGTGTCCAATTGGATATTGCGAATAAGATTCTACGGCCACTACAAACGACACTGCATTCCAGCAGGTACTTGGCCACTACATTGGCTGAGATTAGGGGACAATTTATGGTCAATTGCCTTACACTTCTTGTCTTGCATAAAAGACAATATTTGGTCTTTGTGGGGTGCCTTTGCTCCCTGAATCAGGACCTTGGATTAACTGAAAACAAAAATATGGCTCAAGCTATGTAGCAGGTATTGAATTTTGATACACTGTTGGATAGGATTAATGTCCTTACATTGCCTTCTTATTTAGCTATAGAAACCTCATTATTAACTTGAAAAAAAATCAAAATCCCTTTGTTTAGTCTACACCATACCAACTATGACATGAAAGGGGTATACAACAAAGACCTTAAAAAAAAAACATGTATTAAAGATCAGATGGGACTGACCAAAGAACCATGGCCATGCAAGGTAACTTTAAAAATGCATGGTGCATAACAAAAGAAAGCTACCCAACATCAAACATGAATCCATCCAAGATCATAAGAAACTTTGGCCAGAGGGGATGAAGACACTGGCTAACATTAAGTTACGACAAGCGTTCAAAGGAGATTGGAAGTGTGTGTGCTAGCTGCTGCTGATGATGATGATTTTGATCTTAACAAAAACAGCCTAACAGGGCCAAATGCATGTGCTTACCATCCAATCCGATTCATACTTCTTTCCCTTCTGTAGGACCTCGCTGGACCTAAGATTTCAGGCACTGGATTTGTATTACCTGGTTAAACAAACTTTTCCGTTGCTATCTTTGATATTTATGGCTTGAATTATATTTCGATTTTGGACCGTTCCAGAGTATATATCTTCATTCTTGCCTTCCAAGTCAGGAACTTGATTGGATTTATTAGCTTTATTTGTTTTTGTTGCTTATCCAGCTTAACTAGAAGCACATCCAAGTCTTGCATAAGAAAATTATGTGCCGAAATTTGTCAAAAGCTTGGAATGAGATGGTTTACTAAAAATAAAGAATTGAAGGCAAAAGCCTTTTTCCTGGTAAGTTTTAATCAGAGATCGTAAACAGATTTGCTTAAAGGAAGAGACAGTGAAGAATAGTCACAACTCGCAGGCCCTGGGGTTGATTTTGGTGTGGGTGTTCTTGTTAGAAAGGAGGAATCAAAGGACCGCCATGCATTAAAATTTTTCCACATGATCAATTGAATAGAGACCAATTGATCTTAATGCAATTGTCATGATCATCAAACTCAAATTTGGCCTTGGTTGATCTTCCAAGTTGATCCATCAAAGGTTCTGAAATAAAGCTAACAAACAACATCATGAAAGACACGTGTGGCTATATATACCCACACACGCACATGCTACGTGCAAATATTTCCTCCGGCAGGAAGAGATGGAGATTTTGTTTTGATATATAGGCCAAACATACTTAATATTGACTAACCCATTATCTCAAAAAAGGGGAAAGTTTTTGCTTCCATTACATTCATACATACATATACATATAATATCTAGTTTTCTTTACACTGAAAAAGGTTTCCACAAATTTTCCTTTCTTCTATCTTTTGGTGGGACTTCAAAACGGATAGAATGTAGTTGTACATAAAATTCCATATTCAAGAGAGGACGTACGATAAGGAATGAGTAGATAAAACAGATGGATCAGAGAGAAAACTCGTCTAGCCACTTTATGAATTTGTTGTCCTCATATATTTCTCTCTTTTTTGAGGAACCATCAACCTGAATTGCCTGGAATGATCTCTGCCTTTGATCTAATGCTGTTCATAAAGTTTCTGTTAGTGGAAAATTATATAGGTTTGTATATCCAAATTCAGACTCTGATGTAATACCCTCCTACTAGTTGTTGAAATAGATTTCATTGTCAATAGTATTACATGATTCCACTCATTGATTCATTACCTTTTTCCCTTACATAATTGAGATAATGGCAAAAAACTTCAATAAGAAACTTTTTATTCAAACTAATTTGGCAATAAATTAGGCTTGTTATTCTGCCCCTAATACATCATTTTTCTTCTTCTAATTTGATGACAGTTCTTGCAAGATTGAATAGTCTTTGTCTTCCTGAGTTTTTTTTTTTTTTTCCCAAATCCTAGTCTGGTTTCTGTCACATTCCTCTTTTCCTTTTTCAAGTAAAGCAAGTGGTTATCAGTTGTATCGACAAAGACATTGCCATAACCATATTGCGATCCAAAAGTGAAAAAGGTAAAAAATAAAATAAAATGATGTCCAGAATAACGATTGATTCCTTATCCTAGCAAAGCAAGGATTGAATCCTGAAACTCAAGCCACTGTTTAAAAATTTGTTGCTAGATCGATCAACTCGAAAGATTTAAACCCCAGAGCTTCCCCAAAGCGGGGGCAGCCAGATATTACTGGGCCAGGGTTGATTTACATCAGTCAAAGGTAACTTAGAGAGCAATTAATTAGAGCCCTTATAATGAAAGAATCTATCAGTCAATCTCTTAATTAAAGAGTGAATTACAAGTTGTATAAAAGAAAAGGTGGGATCTACCAAGTTCTGTAACCCTGTAAATTGTAATGAAATACAGGTAAAGTTAAGTTTGCATAAGTACGTGACATTGAACCATGGCCAACAACCACTCAAAAGCCACTTCCCACTAAAACAGGGTAGACTCCCTAGAATCCAAGGAAACACAGGTCTTTGTCCCCCACCATCCACAGCACCAGCTATGGTTTTCACAGTCTGAGAAGGATAAAAGTTTTGTTTGCCTTCACTTCTATTAAAACTAAAGCACAAATTCACATCAAGGTGGGGTCTCTTCCAAAAACCCCCAAAAACACTCTTCATCATATTATATTATTAGACAGTGCAATTGATTATTATTAGTATTATAAAGCTATACCCTTCCCACTACTCTCAATCATTTCAAACCAGTTCCCTCTCTTTATAGTCTCAGCACTTCCATCCCTTTGGTTTATTGATCTCTCCCAATAAGTAACTTCTGAACCTAGTAACATAAACCCCATAGCAGAAGCATTGAGGTTCGAAACCATGTCTATTACAGGAGTTTCAGACCCTGATATAATGTTCAAGAAGTCATTCCATCGCAGGAATGATTCTGGTGAGCTTGATGTGTTCGAGGCTGCCAGGTATTTCTCAGGGTACAATGAAGCGGCTAGCTATAATTGTGCAACATTCACTCAGAAGATCATGCGGGAAGAGAGGCAGCCCTGGAGAGGAGGCAGGATCAGCTTGGATGTACCGATAAGAAACTCTCTTCCTCAACAAACTCATGTGGTGGAAAAACAAATTAAGGAGAAGAAATACAAGCAACCAAGCTCTCCAGGTGGTAGACTTGCTAGCTTCTTGAACTCTCTTTTCAATCAAACAGGTTCTAAAAAGAAGAAATCAAAATCTACCACACAGTCCATGAAAGATGAAGAAGAGAGCCCTGGTGGGAGAAGGAAAAGGAGAAGCAGCATTAGCCATTTTCGTAGCTCTAGTACAGCTGACACAAAGTCCTTTTATTCTTCTTCAAGTTCTGGTTTCAGGACACCACCCCCTTATGCACACACGCCTACAAAAAGCTACAAAGATTTTAGAAGCTATTCAGATCACAAGCAGGTGGTACCACTGTCAAAGAACAATATTGGACAAACAAAACCCACGGCTTTACAAACTGATCACTTGGATGACAAAAGGAATACAACAGACTATTCTTGGTTGGATGAGAAATTCAAGTTCAATGATGGCTACTCAGAAAAACACAAGAATCTCGGTACCCATTACCATCAGGAGAAGGATAGGAATTGGGCTGATCGATATCCATCAGAGGAGAAAGAATTCAGGAAGTTCAGTGAGGTTGATGATGGTGCAGATAGTGATTCAAGCTCTGATCTGTTCGAGTTGCAAAACTATGACTTAGGCATCTACTCAAGTGGTTTGCCTGTGTATGAAACTACAAATATGGACAGCATCAAGAGGGGAGCACCAATATCCAATGGTGCCCTATAAGACTATACATTTTCAACCTTGTTAATGGGTTCATTTGTTTTCATTGCCATTGGAGGCTGTGATAAGAAAATTGATGTCCTAGATTTTGCTTTCTTTTTTCCTTATTGAATGCCTTTTTCTCTGTATGTACAGTATGGAATGTTTGTCTGTCTTCCCTTTCTCAGTTTTCTTTTATATATATATATAAATATATATATATATTTTTTTTTCTTTGTAGCTACCTATTTCATTTCATGGATTAATGCAAAAACCTTAAAAGCCCCCCATTGGAATGGTTTGCTTAGATTGTGCCATGATTAGTGATTTTCCACTAAATTAATGGAGAAACATCAGAAAAGCCATCATCACATCACACTGTATGGACTATATCTTCTACTCTTTTGACTTTTGGACAAGAAACAATAATAGCTAACACATTAATAAATATTTCCTATCTGCACGTGTGATTCATGTAAGCTTTGCCTTTTCTCTTCCTTTCCTTTCTATACTATTTTTCATGGAAAACAAACATTTATGTAAAAGAAATTCATTAGTTTTGCATGCTTGATGACTAATCCACCTCGTTCAAAATCTGGCTGCAAATTTATAGGGTCCCCCCATCCTCTAGACTTGATCCAGCAGGAACAAAGTTAATGCCTATATCTGATCCACGTACAAGGATATATTTAGATGTTAAAGTTGAGTTCGGATGTCAAGCATTTTTCAGCAAATTCAAAGAACTTACTTACAGCCTTCCTAGAATTCATCATTCTTACATGTAGAGGAAATGTGTGATAGATGCAATGATGCAGAATGGCGGGCTAAGCAGAAGGGAAGTTGTAAAGCATGGAAGGGTAAAATGTCGTACGGACGTCTTATCATCCCAATACTGCACTTTCACCTAAACCCCAAATTATTAAGAGTTTGATTAATGCCACAACAAAAACTCCTGTCTAATCAGACAAACAACATAGAAAGGCAAGTATTGTTTATATATACACTATATATTTGCTAGTGAGAGCAGATGGACAAAAGCCTAAGCTACATGATCCATTTAAGACATCAGATAGAATAACTAATTAAGTAAGAACCAACTTTTATACCTATAAAGATAAGCTATGTCCAAAAGGAAATCATTGCTCATGATATATTGATGACAGAAATATTTGCATACACAAATGGCTGTGCCATGGAATTTTCTAATGACAGGTTTCTACTATCTAAGGTAAGGTCTGCTTTAAGGTTGGAATTGGTCATTTCCAGTTTTCCATCTTCAAGTCATATCTGATATAAACTGCCAGACAAACAAAGCTGCTCACAACTAATTTCAGAAACAAATTTTGTTGACAAGAACAATCTCTTATAATCGATTCAGTTCAGAAATTAAAATTGACTTTAGCATCAGGGAAAACGCAGGTGAAATGACCTTAAACAGAATCAAATGATGGATTGCCAAATTTAAAGGCTGTAGCTCTCATCCTCTCAGCGTGAATACATGCGCATAAAGCTAAAAGTGGGGCTTATTTTCCCCCTATCGTCTCAGTGTCTTTTGGAATCAAATAAAGCCTAAAGATGAATTGATCATGAAACCTATTGATAGCCTTTAGAAAGAAAGATGCAGAAAAATGATGTACATAGAGCACCAAAAAGCCGATAAGAAGGCATGATGCATGCGAATGATGAATGGGGCACCAGAAGGGTCCCGCAGGGCATGTTGCATCCGGATGGATGGGGCCTGGGTGGGCCTAACCTGTGATTTTTCTAAAGTTAATGTGATTAAGTTTGATAGAAGAGAAAGAGGAGATAGTGACGAGATAAGCTTTTCTTTTAGGTAATGAAAATCTTTCTTTTGTAAAAGCTGATAAAAACCTACCAAGTGAAACACAAACACAAACCCCTATTGCTGCGAGATTAACTCCAATAACACTTTTTTCCTTTCAATCACCTACAAATTGATGTTATCGATCTAATCCATGTATCACATCAACTAAGGAACCAGATACATTAATTGTTATGGTTGGATTTAGATAGTCTTCACAAAGTACCACCCAAATGTCCTGTTAAGAACATTTGCCAAGACTGTATCAGACCTTATTTCCAAGGCATGAAAGGGACTTATGGAAAATAGTCACAATTGATTTATGGCCAATTATAACCATTAAGATTTTAGTGCCATCATATTAACAGGGTGAAAACGATATGCTAATTATCCTGTAGAGAAATCACTCCGTTACATGTTTATCCTAAACAGCATAATCAGACATCATGCTTTCAGTATTTCATGATATTCTTGTCTGTCTGAAGAGAATAATAGGAAACCTAATGATACCAATATACATAACAATAAAATATTGGCTTGTCAACCAACTGAGAAATCATCCTTTCATTAGATATCAATAAAGCATTGATTCTGCTAAGAAAGAAACTGCTAAAAGATCACAGTAGCTCGCAATTAGAATAATCAAGTGGCTAATACAAATCATAAAAGTGCATTATTAGTGAAAGCAGCAACCTGGTTTATGCTTTTCCTCCACATAGATGAAAGGTACACTTCCAGGACAGCCATCAAATTACTATTATGAGCCTACCGTATGTTCCAACAGAGTCTATTTGCCTTACCAACAAAAGCGAATTATCAAAAAATTGAAGGCCCTGTGTTTTCATGTGCGTAACTTGAGCCTGGATGTAATTTACACCAATGATATTTGGGAAAAAATAAGGAAAAAGCTAAAGTGCACAACAAATATAAGACAATGAAAAGCCAGGATGCCATCAGTTCACAATCTAAATTTCTCTAGTGAGATATGATTTACATATCAGCATCCCGGTATGAATTGCGAACTAGGAATTCACAAATGTTGGGAATTTGGAAGGAAAATTTACAAATGCTGCGATCAAATGTCAACTTTATTAAAATCCACCATTTAAAGAAGTGAATTAACCATTCGTGCTAGAAATCTCATGTTTCGATAATAATCTAAACTAATGTCACACTACTCTCAATTTTTCATAATAAAAATGTATCAGTCAAGAGAGCACTCTAAAAAATTGATTGCTACATACCTGCCCTATTGGTCCTTTTTTGATATTTTTCAGTTCTGCCCACTGCTATTTTCCTGTTCCAATTCTCAAATCCATTTGCTTATGGCAAGGCCAGATGCAAATCAATTCTGCAATTCTTCAAGGAAAAAGTTGGGCTAGCTTTCCTAGTTCTACGAGGTCCTGCTTAGGACAATGGTGGGTCTAAGCCCAATTGGTTATGAGACGTGCACTTATAATCAGCAACTTGTTATCTGATTCTCAGCTTCGTTTCTTTTTTTCGTTGTCATCACAATCTCAGAAGCATAATCATCTTTTCCTGCTTAGGACAATGGTGGGTCTAAGCCCAATTGGTTATGAGACTTGCACTTCAAATCAGCAAGTTGTTATCTGATTCTCAGCTTCTTTTCATTTCTTTTTTTCGTTGTCATCACAGTCTCAGAAGCATAATCATCTTTTTGGGTGCTATCTCCTTTTGGGTGTTATCCCAAATTAGGTGGCATGCTTCGCATGATAAGATAAAAAAATATCAACATTTGATTCTGGAACCAAGAAATAATGAGTTTAAGGGAATTGGTACTCCAAGAATCGAAGGTGTAATCAGCTTTAGCTCTCGTATCCTTTTCTGCCACTCCTTTTCTTTGCCTTTCAAGCTTTTAATCCTTTGGAGGGAAATGAAAGCGCTACACAACACTTTCTACCTGTAGAATGGAGGCCATGCTAACAGCCAAAAACGTGCCAATATTGCAAAGACAATGACAGCCCAGAATCATGCCAAATTTTGAAGAAAGAATAAAAGAAAAAAAAGACAAACTCAATTTCTCTTGCCATTCCACAGCCTCTAATTGGATAACAAATGGCACTGAGTTATTGCAATCTTGATGGGGTTAAAGCCTGTTATTTCTGATTTTTTCAACACATGGCAACGTTGCATGAGTGGCCCCATGGGAAGCTTATCCCTGCATTGATTGCAAGAAAAAGCCAAGACAAACTTGTGTAATTTCAACAGTTACATCACCCTTAATCCCTAGTATTGCTTAGCTGAATGAAATGAATGCAAATAGGACGTTCTTTTTCTTGGGTTGTTGGGGTCCTTGAGGTTAGGGAGAGGCAGGCAACTCACAAAAATGGAGTTCAACATTTCATCACCCACCATTTCCATCAGGCCTAACCAGCCCAAATACGTACTGTTTTTTCCTGTCTTTTTTAATTTTGTCGTTTTTATGAAGATTTGTATGTGTATGCGCAAATCTGTCACCGGGTACAAATACAACTGCAAAAATGCTGGCAAAGTGGCCCTGATGGTAGTGAACTGTGTTTTCCCTAAAGCAAATGGCAGCTTTTGCCTTACATAAATTGCAAGGAGATTAGTTGGTGATGGATATATATCCACCTCACCGATACCAAAATTGTGGTAGCAGTTAGATGAATTACGTTGAGAAAAAAAAATCATATATAATAAAATTTTAAAATTATTTAATATTTATAAAATTTATTTTACACCTTTTAAATGAAAAATAAAAAATTGTAAAGAAATTTTTATTATAATAGAAAATTTTAAAGGATAAAAATGTAAAAAAAAAAAATTAAAAACAAACCCCACTGGCCAATTATCAACTGAACCAAAATTAACCAGTTAATGACCGACCATTTTTCCACTGCACTGTAGCATCGTTTGGCAACGAAAGTTGAAAACGAACACATCTTTTCATTGCAATTGCATCGCACTGGCGCTCCAGTGTAATCCAAATCGACTATTATTTGTTTAGAAGTGACAAAATGAATTTCAATCCAATTCAATCTTATTTGACAAAACAAAAATTTAAAACTCAAAATTATTTAAATTTGAAAAAAAAATTTCAAACTCGAAAAATAAGTTGAAATTATTATATTTTTATAAAATTTAAAAATATTAAAAAAAATAACATTATTATCTAAAAATTAAATTAAAAAATAATTTAAAACACGATATAATAAAAATCTAAACCTATCCGAATGCGCACTTTAAATTAACACCTATATGAAATCTCTTGCTTGCCATTTTTGTGACCTTCTTCACTCACTATTTTGGCTGTATTTCCTTTGTCCTTTGTTACCTTTTGCAATCACTCTCTCACCTTTTCTTTGGATTTCAAAGCCATTAATTTATCTTTCTGTTTTTTTTTTTCTATTACCTGATAAAGGGAAAGGTTCACATCATTTTCTAGAAGAACAGCATATGCCATTTTAACCCTATGAAAGGAAAAAAAAAAGTTAATTACTTGAAAATTAATGATATGATTTACTATGTTTTTGTGAATGCATTTGAAAATCTGCTTCATTTATATCCATAGGCGGATCTATGTTGGACCAAAAAATTTGAAATCATTTTATTATATACTTCATAATGTAATTATTTCATATATTTAAATTAAATTAATTCTCACATTAATATTATACATTGTAATTTAAGAAAATTAAAATTATATTATTATGTATCTATTTATTTAATTCACAAATCCATGTATCACAAATATTAAGTCACAAATATATATAAATTTAAAAAATATTAATATTTTAGCTTACAACAAAATTTTAAGTCTTCACCCAAATATCAAATATATGTTTTGTTTTTCTATTTAGCCAATTGCACTTGTGTCTTTATATATTTTTTTGACCATTTTCTTTTTTTTAATTTGATAAAATCTCAAATGATTTATGTTAATTACTCGAATTTTTTAATTTTTTTAAATATTTATATTCGACTCATTTGTAATAAATATAGGTAATAGAGTCGAATAATCTAAAAATATATATAACTTAAAAAATTAGCATATTTATATTAGATATGTATTAATATTTAATATTCATTTTCGAATTCAAATAATATAATAAATAAATAAAATATGATTTTAATTGATTTGTTCTAAATCAGATGTGAAGTTGCTGGTATTGTTTTATATTTTCATGCTTCACATAGTGCATGCACGAAATCTCCAATTAATATGACTTTCGTTTATGAACCAACAAGGCATTGGCAATTGGAAAACTAGTTGTTGCTCTAATCCTACGTTACCATGTACTTGAAGCTAGCTTAGCACAATGGAATGTAATTAACAGAACAGCAAAACGACAAAAAAAAAAAAGTGTCGGTGTGCATGGCTTGGGTATGACATATGTCACAACCACAAAAGGGATAGTTAAATAGGGTTTATGGAGTTTTTAAAATGCATCACAATTAATTAAAATATTTTTTGAGAATGATAAAATAATTTTATATTTTATATTTTTTATATTATCTGTGCATATTTTATATGTTAGTAATAAATCATGATATTTAATTAATAAAAAAATATTTAAAAATTTTAAAAAAATTTATTTATTAATAAAATATTATTATTTAATTTATCTAATTAATAAATCATTTTTATTTAATCTATTAATAATGTATCAAATATAAATTTATAATATTAATTAAAATTAAATTTATATATATATCAAGTTGGTCATTTTCAAAGTGTCTTTTTTTTTTTTTTAGGGTATTGATTATATAAGTGCACTAACAGTGGACATTGATGGTGCTTAAACTAAACAGCAATAAATCAAATTTTGGGTTAGAAATATGAAAAGAAAACAAATTTTCCTTCAAATAAAAACCCATTTTTTGAAAGGCATCTCTCATGGTTTTTGTCGTTATCAATGGGAGAGAGTCTGGTGCGCAACGAGTTGCTTCACAAATCACAATGGACAAGTTGTTGCAGCGAGGAGAGAGGGGATGGCTGGGTGCTGGCTGGCTTTGAGTTGGTTGCCAATTAATGCAATAATGGTTACTGTTGGCAATAAAAAAGAAGAAGAAAAAGTTGGTGTCAGCAAAAGCAGAGCAGAGCAGGTTCACTCCATAGTGGCTATTGTGCCCACTTACCTCCCTGTCCTCCCCACGTTTACCTTTTCTTTATCTTTTCCCACTTGGACATGTGTCAGCACACCAAGAGTACAAGTGGCAAGACGGGTCTTGTCACATCCCAACATTGATATCTCACGTTACCTGAAAACAAATTCAATTCCACTTATTGAGCAGAAACACGTGGCTTTCAAATTTTCTCCCACTGACTTTTTGCCCCCAATAATGAAAAGATATCACTTACGTTACGTTATTATAGAATAATTAACCAAAAATAATTCATAATTAATTATAAAATTATAACTAAAATACATCTTTAATTACAAGCCAAAAGCATCAGAAGGCAAAAAGTAAAGAAAATATTTTCGCCATTAAAAGGAATCGATCCCTAACATGACAATCAAGTATAATAATTTGTCTGGTAATATTCTTCGATTCAAAGTGCATTTGAATTTTTTAAGGATCCGACGTCGTTTCGTAAAAATCAATGCTGCACGAGCAGCCTTAACCATTCATTGAAATGCATTCTAAAACTACTTCAAAATAAACTTAATTTCAAATTAAATTTTTATCAAGGGATTATAAAAGAATAATGTATTCATACAAACTAAGATGTGTTCGTAAAATTTTATTCGATGTAAAATTCATCATATGATATATTGTTCGTCGATTTTTTTTCATAGACTTCAAGTTAACAAAATAACACGAAGAAAATATATATTTAGTATTTAAATCAAAAAATTATTTTATTATCCTTATTACAATTTGTATCAAAGTTGGTTTGATAATCTCATCCATGGGTGACAGAATCAACTTTGTCTCATTATGATTTCTCTTTCAAATTTGAGAACATTTCCTGAGGTTCAAAGAGGATGTTGTCAAGGAATCTTGGCACCCCAAAGTGTCAAGTGTTCCCATGGCAAATTGAAACAAAATTGAAAATACATATATGCTTTAAATAAAAGGTCCATTATATAGAGCATAATAGTCAATAATCCCTTTTTTTTTTTTAATATAAACAATCAATCAGTATTATTCATATAATTTTTCTATACTTAAAATTGAGTAATGATTATAAAAATAAAAATTTTAATATTTTATTAATAAAAATAAATCACATTACTATTGACCTTATTTATATAATTTTAATTTGATAATAAATAAAATTATTTTACAAAGAGATTTTATATATATATATACATATACATTCATATGTCTTAAATTTTATTTATTCAACACTTAATTGCGAATATTATTATCTATACCTACTGTATTAATTAATATGTATATGTACGTGTAGAGAGATAAAGAATGACAAAATTCAAATGACAAAAAAAAAAAGTTAAAAGCCTACAATATTAAGAAATTTCTGAATTTTATCATTTTATTAAAAAAAATCTTTTACTTTTATTGCACTAAATTTTTATTATTTGATTTATATCTAAGTATATCCATATTTTAAATAAAATATTAATTTATATAAAAAATTTATTTAGATACAAATTATAATTTAAATTTTTATTGGTGTACAAAATAAAAGTTAATATTTTATTTTGATACAACATAAATATAAAAATTTAATTAGAAAGTTAAAAAAAAATTATTATTAAAAAAAAAAGAGCTTCCTACAAGTAGAAAGCTTTAAGCAAGGCTCAATAAATTTTCAAAATGGGTGTGCTTTAAACAAAATCAAACCACCAGACACATCAAAATCAAACAAAACAAAGAAAAAAATATAATAATAATAAAATTAGACACAGGCCTAACTTTACCTTAACCAAAGCAACTTTTTTAAGAAATAGTAATAATCATGTATGTTTAGATTGTTTTGTCCATGGAGGATGGGTCAAGAATGGAATTTCAGGATAGAAAAGCACCAACCCGCCTCCCCTCCAAAAGCAACAAAAGACCTGGACATGCTTTTGAGACAGAATACTATGCGTAATAGTAATAGTGAAAATCATGTTGACTCAACACAGTCAATCTGCTTCGACCTCACCACATACCTGAAAAACCAAAAGAAAAAAAGGATTATTAATAAACTTTTCTCTTTCTTGCTGTCTAATTTTCTGTTTTCTCTCTTTCTCTGGTTTAACATTTACTTTCTTCGTTTCTCTGTGGTAAGCCAAAGAAATTCACGATAACCCATTTCTTTATTTTGTTTTTTGAGGGTCTTTATTTCGTTGTTTTTTTTTTTGTTTGGTTTCCGAGAAAACTGTAGGAAAAGGTGAGAAAGATGGCAATCTTGCAAAATCCCGAATTGTTCTACTTCATTTTTTAACGGGGCTAAACGTACCCATGTGAATTATTTTTGTCTGTTGATCTCTGAAAATGGGTAGTTTTTGTTTTTTTTTTTTTTTTATTGATTGATTAAGTTTTTGGAAAACAAAGAGTGGCCTTTTCTTACCAACCCTGTTTTTTCTTGGGATTTGAAATGTGAAAGAATGTTTAGTTTTTTTTTATTCTATAAACTTTGGGTGCACTTTTGCTTCAACAAAGATTACTTTGTTCTTCTTTAGTTAGTTTTATGGGTTTGGAATATCAAAGAAGAAATAACACTAGGGACTTGTTCATTTTTCTTTTCCTTCTTATTTTTCCTTTGTCCTTTGAGAAACACAAAAAAAAAGAAAATCTCTCTTTTAGGCAGCTCAAATCATCAGCTTTTCTCAGTTAAATTATTGAAGTTCATTGAGTTAGATTCTTTTGTTTCTCTAACCAATGAACAAAACAAGCATCCAGTTTTCATTTTCTTTTTTAATTTCTTTTCTCATTCATTTTCTCTGCAACTAAACATAGCTTTGATTCTCTTTTTTTCTCTATCTGTTGTTTTGAACCTCTTATAGTGGACCTTTTATTAAATGTTCACGGGGAATGTCTTTAGCTTTCCTTTTTGTAATGTAATGTTAAAATTGAAATAAAAAACTAATGAAATCAATGGCCTGCATCTTTATCATTCTGTTCTTTTTTTTATTTGCAAAAATTTTTGTGTGTCTACAGATAAGCAATTATTATATTCTTCAAGTTTCCAATTTATCTATTTTTTTGAAGTGATTAGCCTAATGATTCTTTTTTTCTTCTTCATTATGAATGATGTATAGGCATTTACTTTATTCATACTGATGGAGTCTTGGAGCTATGGTTCTGAAGGGAAAGGCCTTTTTTTTACTGATGAAATGGATTTGCCAGTTGATGCTTTTGCTAGAAGTAGAAAAGCACTGGTTGGTTGGGACCTCAAGCCTGCTACTGATTTTGAAGCTATTGAGAGTATGGAATTCATGGATTTTGGTTTTGCTGATATGAACAAAAAACCCTTCTATGGTAACACCAGTATGGGAATTTTTGGTGCTGAGTTTGGTAATGATTCTTCTAAAAGGGTAGTTTCTCCTGTTTGTATGATTAACTCTAGTTCATATTATGGTGAAGAGGAATCTGGTTCCAAGCATTCTAGTTCTTTGATAGAGTCTAACAGTCAAGAATCTTCGCTCATTGACTTGAAGCTAGGCAGATTGACTGAATATAGAGATGGGCAGGATGGCAAATTTTTTAAGGAAACTTCTGTTGTTTCTTCAGTTAGTCCGGCCTTGATGGCTAAGAAAGCTCGAACCACAAGCTCATTCTTTCATGCTCCTTGCTGTCAAGTTTATGGTTGTAACAGGGATCTTAGCTCCTCAAAAGATTACCACAAGAGGCATAAAGTTTGCGAAGCTCACTCTAAGACTGCTAAAGTTATTGTTAATGGAATTGAACAGAGATTCTGTCAGCAGTGTAGCAGGTTGGGGTTTTTTTTTTTTTTCCACTCTTTTTCCCTTCAATTTGATCTGCCTGTATGTGAAATTTATTACTTATCTATGCTGTTTATAATTCAAGATCATATTCTTATTATATTTGGAATGACCCCATAGACTAGCCTTGTTTCCAGGATTCTCCCCTGCTAGTGTTTATACTACATAGTTTTTGGAAGAAGTAATTGTTGGTAAGAAGTAAAGGATGAATTTTAACAAATGAAAGGGGCTTGCCCATCAGCCCATGTTCACAGGGATACTCACTGCCCTTATAACTGCCCTTATAACAAATTCAGAAAAGTTGCTTAGAATGCAAATGAATTTGTACTGGTGTTACCCTTATAATTGCCCTCTTTTTCTGCCTTCACATAGGTTGTTTCCTGCAGACTAACTTTTTATTTTTTTGGAGGGAGGAATGTTTTCTTTCCTATCCTTTGCTTGCAACTACTCAACAACATGTATCAGGGTAGGACCTTCTTTTTCTAGAAGCCAACTGACTGCTATATTAAGAAATGGTCCCTGTAACATCAAGTGTTCCTTAATCAAAATTAGTATATAGACCTTCCTCAAACAGACCAGAAGCTCAATGCCCTTTATGTTAAAAGGAAAGAAGCAGCAGGAGAAAAACTAGCTTTCTACTGGAACATATTTATTTAAATTGTGCCGCATGTTAAGAAATGATTGTAAACAATTTAAACCTTTAAATCATAGAAGTTTCTGATTAAAGTTTAATGTTGGCCCAGGTTATTCTATTTAAGCTTATTAATCCTAATTGTTTTAGTTCATTTTTTTGCACTTTCATGGCCATAATTTGACATTACTGCTGGTATTAATTTTAATTCCTATTGGTTCACCAGGTTTCATTTACTGGCTGAATTTGATGATGGTAAGCGCAGCTGTCGTAAACGCCTAGCAGGGCATAATGAGCGTAGAAGGAAGCTTCATTTCAATTCCCTTTCTGGAAAACCACACAAGTTGCTGCAGTCATATCATGGTATGAACAATCTCTTTACTTTGTTTCTCTTGAGGAAATTAAGTACTCTTCATTATAAATTTGAAATTAAGATATAAAGTCAACCTGTCCTTGGAGGCAGAATAAAAAATGGAAAATCTCTTTGGTCGTGTAATTTGAGCCACTTAAGACTGTTTGGAAGCAATTCTCATTTGCATTGATACGGATAGTAACTTATTTTCTGCTAGTAAACAAGGTCAGGGCTAAAGTGGTGCAAGGCTTGTGCGGATTTTTTATTTTCTGCAAGTTTAAGAAAACGGACATGTAAATTCTTCATTATTTGAGATACTTTGGGTTCTTTCCAATGCTTTCATAATTTCGTATAATAATGCTGTTTTGGTACTGCATTTAGATATATAAAAAAATTGAATGAAAATATAGCTTTTCATCTCAAGAGTTTCCTCAGTGCGGATTCCATTAAATGGAAGGGTGGAATGGCCATGTCATCCACTCTTATGATTTCTTGTAATAATCTTTTGTCCAACAATCTTATCTGAAAATCATTCCAAATGTTTTGAAAAAGTTCCCTGCAGAAGCCATTCCATTTCTTAGCAATATGATATAGGAACTTTTGCATTTTCAGTTACATGAAGTTTTCTTCCTTCACAATCCGTTAAAAACTAATATGTGCATACATAAAAGGGGGGAAAAAAGTTTCTACAGAAAAGCATCCTATTTTATTTTCTATGATGTACTGGTTACTTTAAAATTTTGAGAATTCGAAAAGCTAATATCTTAGCTGATCAGGAATTTTGTAAACTAAAAGATTCTAATTGTCTTCAGAAACACTCAACAGAAAGAACCCATATGGAAGCAGTTTCACAAGATTCATATTAAATGGATTGTAAAATACTAAAAACCATTAGAAACTTATATAAATGAAGCATTTTTATCTTATATAAACTTTTAATGATTTCAGATATGCTTTTCAATGTAGATTAATCAGTTTGATTTGCAGGTTAAAAAGAGAAATACAGAGTTGAAGCAGTGGACTTAGCTTACTTTGCTTCCTTAGTTGATTATAGAATTTCATATAGCAAAGTTTTAACATATTGTTCACTGATGTGAGCTCTCAGGTACCAAATATCTGGGGAGCCCCATGCCAAAAAGAATGCCTTCTGCTATTCCAAACATATTTCAGGGTGACTTTATTTGTCCGGGAAGATATGAACACGCTAATCAGTGTCAGCGGGTTAAATATGAAGAGAAACCAATTTATAGTCCTCAGTCAGCAATACCGATCACAAATGGCGAGTTGCTACCAAAATCTTTCTTTCATGTGCACGGCAGTGGAAAACAATATGTTCCTGGAACATTTTCATCAGCAACTGAAGCCTTTAATGCTCCTAATGCAGCATCTATAGTTAAAGAGTTATCTGGGGTTTCGCGCTTAGATTGTGCTCTCTCTCTTCTGTCAGCTCAATCACAGGACTCATTAAGCCATGCGACAGGAATTCAAATGACTAGACCCTTAATCAATCAAGCTAACCTTGCCTATCATAGCTCTGAGAAATCTGCAGCAGTGACTTCTATGGAAAAAGTCAACGACTTGTATTCATGTGGAATGAACCCTGTGGGAGTTGGCCAAGCGGGGTCTGTTCTGCTCTCTGATAGTGGTCATACTGTTAGTTTTGAAGTGCAAGCAGATGGATATTTTCAAGACTCGGGTCTCTTGAGTGCAAGGCATTGTCTTTCTCCTGAAAATGGAACCACTGTTGATTTGCTTCAACTTTCAACACATCTCCAAAGAGTGGAGCGACAAAGGAATCCCATGCAAGTAAAGCAGGAAAATGAGGGCCTGTGTTATTTCCTTACCACTTAATCAGTATGAGAGGGACAAGGTATGTGCATAAAACATCCTTTTTTTTTTGTTTTTTTCATCCTTTCTGTTTGATTGTCATTCATCCTTGAAATTAGGAAAATTTCCCATCTCAAATATCTATGTATAAAAGGCGATTGCATTGTTGGGGAACCCACAAGCCATCATAGTGAACTTTGAAATGTTAGAAGAAAGTAGACAATGATAAATGATTATGAAACTGCAGATTTTATTGAATTCGTTTTCAATAATTTTCTCAAAGTAGCCAAGCGAGGATTCTTTGCTTTCACATGTTCTACACAACTCTAGAAGTGGTATGGTCATTAAAGATTTCGAAAGTTAGGCCTAAGAGATTCTGTTTAGGAAAGAGTAAGGCCACATGCAAATGAGAAAAGCCATGAATTGCTTTGATTTCAATCATATCTATTGAAACATGGCTGTTCGAGGATCAAAAGAGAAAGGTTAACGTTCTATTGTTAATGCAGGTTTGCAGGAAGAGTTGCAAAGGTGCTGCATCAAAAGTTTTACCTAATTGATGCGCTTCACCATAGGTCATTAGATGTTCAGATACCATTGTTAGTAAACCCCGTTTCTGATAGGTATATAATGGAGTGAATTCTGGAGCTTGTAGCTGTAAATTGACGCAAGTTCAGTAGTATTTGTTCTTTGGAGAACTCTTGTCCTCCACTGCTCTTTATGTAGTTAGCTGGTTTAATGATTCTGTTATTATATGATACTATTTGAGACATTGTGGAAGGACTTTTAGCTGGTTAGTGATCCCCATCACTTTGGCTGCACTGAAGGGGCAAGTTCAAAGGGACCAACTCAGAGTCAATTTGGAATAAGGCCCCTTTTAAAAATTTTAGATTAATGGAATCATGTAGCATTAACTGCTTTTATTTATCAACCTTTTATACTGTAAAAAACTTTTAAGTGGTTCATGCCTTCATGTTACTTGGAAGAAGATATGCTTTTTCAGTGGACTGCTCTTTGTTATTTCCTCCGTCCCATTTTCTTTATACGTTTTTGTTTTGGATGTCTAAAATTATATATATATATATATATATATATTTTTTACATTTAAATTTCTTACTTTTTTATATACAAAAAATTAAAAATATTTTTGCACCTTTAGTTTGGAGCATGAGAACTTTTCTGCATTTATTGACAACCACCATGTTTTGTATAAATTATCCCAAAGCTTTTGGAGTTTTGCTTGGATGTTGCTCTAGGAAAACAATAAAGTATCTTTTCATATTGTATCTTAGGTATATTTGTAAACCTAATCCCTTTACCAGTTGCAACAAATGAACATCATTCACTCATCACATATGCCTTTATATTTTGCTCAGTGCTCTGTTGGCCAGTGAGTTGTAAATAGCTCTAATTTCTAAAAAGCAACAACAATGAAACCATCACTGCAATTCCCACGGGAATCTGATTTAAGAATTACAACTTGGCTTTAGAAGTGTTTCTTAAGGATGAAGATCAGCTGATTGCATGATTCAAACACAGCTTTACCGCATTGTCTGCTTATTGTGTGAATGGGTGTGGCTTGAATAGCCTTCCAACTTGATCATCTTTTTAACTTTTTCTAATCAACTGATGTCATGGGTGACACATTGTTCATGACACTTGATGAAAAAACTATCATATCTACTTTGATAGCTGTCAAATGCATGTCTTTTGTATCTTTAATATTTGACTGGCAAAATCATTGGGTGCTTTCCGTAGGTTGAGTTAATGAATTTAGATAGTAATTTGGGTTGTAGAGATAAATTGGCTTTTAGGAGGTTGGTTCTGCCTCCGTTGGGTGATGAGTTTTTAAAAGTGAACCCATGATTGGGCTGATACATCCATATCCATAATATTTTATTATTAAAAAATAATTTTATATATTAACAGTAGATTAAAGTTTGTCAAACAATATTTAAGCTGTTGAATCGTATCTCATTAATGCATATTTATGAAAATGAATATATAAATTAATTATCAAATAAACATGATAATAATTTAATTTAGAGTATAAAATTTAAAAATTAAATTAAATAAAAATATATTATTAACATTTTTAGGCCAAATTGACTCAAACCTATTAACAATTAATGATTATAACGGGTCGGGTCGGGATAAATTTTTGCTCACTTCGAATCCGATCCGACTTTAAATATATAAAATTTGAACCCGAATTTGATCCGATAAATTTTTTATTTTTTTATACTTGACTCCGATCTAACCCGATATTATATAAAATTATATCTGACCTAACTCAAAATTAATAAAATATTATTTTTAATATAAATATAAAATTATATATATAAATAAATATAAAATTAAAAAAATATATATCAAGTCAGATTTGTCTAAAACCTGATTTTGATCCGATTTCGATATTTTTTTTTATGTCGCTCAACCCGACCCAATATCCAATTAAAAAAAAATTGATCCTAAGAAATTAGATCAAAATCCGAGGATTTCGAATTCTTTTGGCTTCTCTATCAACAACCCTAAACACAAGTATGGTATTTGGGCAACTTGACCCTTGGACACGTTTAGTTAAGCCCGTGAAAAAGGCTTTGCTCTCGAAGTGGCAAGTACATATGTTGATTTGCTGATTCATTTTACACGAACTAGAAAATATTCGTATCAGTTTGCTTAGAAAAAGCTGTGCAGCAGGCGTTTGATTTGAATTCCAATGCCGATTCTGCTTCTTCGTCATAAAATTTACTGCGGTTTGAGATTGTCAAACCATATGTTGAAAAGCAAAATTACATGTGTATGTGATATTGCATGCATGTGGTAAATCTAGATTTACAAAATTTTTCCAGGTTTAGGAGTAAAAGACTAATGCTTAACAGTAAAAGCATCTCTAAGAGCTTTTATATTTGGATTTATAAACCAAAATTTTAAATGGGAAAACTTACTTTTTGTTGTTTAGTATTTAAGGTTGGATTAAAAGCAACTTTTGAACGTAAAAATTATTTTCAACTTCAATGCTAAGCTTGCCCTAAATAATCATCTTTGAAGATCAAATATATTAATTAGCAAGCATTGATAGAAACAATTAGATTCAGCACCATATATAGGAACAATAATGCTAGAAAGATTAGCTTGGTCTTAGGATAGATAGTTTGTTCATTAAAAGACCAACACCCTAAAATTAAGACGACAATATTAGATGATAATAGTTAAGAAGGTTTGAAACACAAAGGTTACGTTAAATATTTGCTATCACTCAGTCTCCAGCTATCTCTCAGCTTTGTTTGTTGCACTACATTTCATGCATCATCACTTCATTCCTGCAAAATTCATTGAAACCCTAACAGCATCAGACCCAGGTTTTGCCAAATTTTCAATATTTTCTGTGTTTTCTATATTTGATTGCATATCAAATGGAATGGAGTATATATATATATATATATATATATATAGTTTATTGTTTCCTTACGTTGCTGCTGTTTCCGGAAACTGATGATGCTGCTGGTGAATTTGGGATGTACCTAGCCCACTGTTTGATTCCCAGCAAGTCATAAGAATATCAAATTCAAATATGTAATGGAAATTAAGTAAAGAAAATTGTTTGAAGCTATGCAGTAGTAGATGAAACAAGTAGAATCCTACATTTTTAGCTGCTGCGCTGAAAGCTTCTCGATGGGGTATCTCAGGATTTGCTGCTTTAATGCGCTGTATCTCCTCTCTTTTTCAATGTAAAATAGGATATGAGAAACTTAAAAGATATATACAGTTTCAAAGCAGACACAAAAAATTGTGAAATTATCATTCCCTTACTTCATAAACCGATTGTAAGCAGATGGGAGCCTGTGTTTCTTCTCAGGAGCTGCAAAAAAAAATTGATTAACAGCTTCCCATAAATCCAAGAAGAATGTATATAGAAAGGGAGTATTTTACAATTAATAGGGCAGAGTAATGAATTGAGGTTTCTATATATACGTTTTACAACAAATGGTGCTTTAGGGGATGATGGATCCCTTGATGTTGATGAGGATGGCGATGAAGACTGCTTCTCCTTGCACATGAAACCAACTTTAATCCATTACTAATCATATCATATCTTTTTCAATATTTTCACTTTTAGATTTAGAACCAAAAAAAATGGAGATTTGCTTCCTGAACTTTTTCTTCCTCATGGTTTAAAAATGGATACGTACCTGGAGACTGAGGCTGGTTTGGGGATCGAGGCATTGACCTTGCAGTGGAGATCTGGTGCTGAGAAAGGAGAGGTTACTGCAATGACCGCATTTCACTGTCACAGTGTCCAGCAACCGTTTGCATGGGATCCCAACCTACAAAACAATATCCAAAAATAACTAAACTATATAAACCCCAAACCAACATCTTATCATCATCAAACTAGATTATATCTTTTCTTTTTGGTAGCTTTCATTATGAACGTATATATAACAAGGTCATGATGATGAGGAAGTAAAAATGGCCTCTAAGACCCTAAACTACATGCTAGCTAGTAACTAAATTAGATTACCGCGAGAACAGTGTTGCAGAAGTTGCAGCGGACATAGCAGAGATGCTCGGATTGTGGAACCAAGTCCATTCCAACTTTCTCTTCAAGGTTCATATTATCAAAGGAAGAGAAGAGAAACGAAGATAATAGATCAGGCAGCTATAGCGAGGCAATTACTCAGAGTATGGGTGTTTCAGAAGAAATTAAGGGTAGGGATTTTTATGATATAGGAGGAGGATGAGTAGCGGTTGCCTAGCTAGTGGGGATATATCTCTGATCTCTGGTTAGAGAGGATGGTAGGAAAATGGAGCCAAGATCGAGTCAAAAAGAAAGTCTAGGGTTACTAATATTACTTGTCACAGTACCTGGTACCTGCTCTGGACATATTTAGTTTGCACGGGCGGGGATGATTTTGATTCTCATCACACACCCTCAACAAATTACTAACAAATATCTGATGATACACATCTATTCCTTTGATTAATTTGCACTTTCGTTTCCATTTGCCACGCATAGACGATATTAATATCTGATTACATTTCTTGAAGTCATGGCATTTGCACTTTCATATCAGAAAAACAGTTGAATTGGCACCCACAACCTAGGCTGTCCAACCTGGTGTTCCTAGCTACATGTAATTTGAGCTGATCAATCTCTAGTTCGATTGAGTTAATTAATTACTTTCTCCTGCAACCAAAAGCAAAAGGAATTAATATAGTATAAATGGGCATAATCCTGAACTCTACCATGATTTTTTTTTCGTCGCTCAGTCTTTGACTGATGCTTATGAAATGGAACTGAGTAATTTTACATTATATTGTTAATTTAAATCAATAATAATTGATTCCAATTTTATCATTTGCCCATATCTTACTTCTTTTAGATGTAGATCTTAATGGGAAAAAAAAAAAAAAACAACAAAAAAACAAAAACAAATCAGAAAAGCTTTCAATACTGAGATCATATCATCCCCTTTACGATCGATGCACAACGAAGATAAGGGTCCAAGTCCCTTGAGCATGGTAATGGGGGTTCAACTATAATCATTCACATCTTGAACCAATAGGAACCTGGTTCCAGAAAGAGAGTGAAAAGCTAGTGAAGAAATGGGGTCCTGTCCATGCATTCCATCTTTTGTGGGTGCAATGTTAAACAAGGAAAACTGAAAGAGACAGATGCTACAATCACATGTCAATGTCACAAACGCACACGCACACTGTTTTTAGGCATAGCAGTAGTGCTACTGAATTTATAGGAAGAGGGGGGAACTGAGAAAAATGGGTGGTTCCTGTCCTTTGTGATGGGACGATTCTTCAATTGACAAAAATGGAAACAAAGCTAGTTTGACACTTGGTTTCCTCACCTTTCTGTGCTGGTATAAATCGACTTTCCCAAGGCCAAGGGTGCTTTTGCACTTGAGGTCCCGGCCTTATTGTCCAATATACATGGTGGTTTGCTTTTCATTTTCTGCTATCTCTCTCCTCTGCACTCAATAGCCATTTGTTGCCTCGAGATTCCTCTCCTTGATATCGTTACCATTAGTTCAAGACTCATTTCACACCCATAGTCCTGTTGATTAACGGATATGGACACAATCATTAGATCTATGGTGACCCTCTTTCTTATCCATATCAGGAAACTTTGAATTGTGATTGGACAGCTGATCTTTTACCAGTACTAAACTTTTTTCAGTAATCAAGCCCTGCCCACTGATCAGCATTTCCAAGGTTAAGGAATTTCTATCCCCTAGCTCGTTAAGATTAAGGTTGGTTAGGATCAAACACTACCATAATTGGTTTGACAAGTAAAATCAAATGATCTATGCTTGCTTAATACATTTCTTTTAACGGATCATAGCTTTTTTATGATTGATTTGAATCATGTAAATTGTTGTACATGATCACTATGTCGTTATTCATCAAATTTACTACTATAGTGTATTATATTATCTATTTATTAAAAACTTATCATAATATTAGCAAAGTTACTAACATAACATATTTCAATTCACATGCTCTTCCTACTACTTTTTGCTTGATTCTTTTGCTAAACTTCATCATGTATTTTTTTTGTTCAAACGCAGTAAATACTCACAATTTTTCATACAAAAAAGAAAAAAAGAAAAAAACTTGAAATATAATATAACTTGAATTTAATTGATTTGCTTAAACTTAGTGAATTATATAGATATTTGCACCACTCAAATGATGAATTTAGACTCAAGGCAATAAGCATAAACAACTTTTAAAACTACATGCACTCAATTATAGATATATTCATTTATCATTAATTAGGTTAATGATTTATTGAATAGCAAAATACGATATTAGGTTAAGCTTAATATCTAACATTTTCATATTAACGAACCAAAATTTTACCTCAAGAGTAGTCAAGGTTGGTATTGTATATTTTAGGCAAAACTAAAATTCAATAATCATTAAAAGTTTTTTTTTCTTATAATCAATTAAACCCTCAAATATTTATTTTTAAAATTAAACAATTATTAGAGAAAAAATGGGTTAATTGTTTTCGTCAAATTGAGATATTGATTGAGTGAAAATAGATGTTTAAGGTTCAATTGATTTGAAGTAAAAGATTCAAGAGTTGATTAATTGTAATAAATGTTAGGTATTTATATTATTATTAAATTTTTGTGTGAGGGTTTTTTAACCTTTATATCTATATTTTATTTACCTAAATAATTTTTTTTTATTCGATTTCAAAAATAAAGTCGACACTGGTTTTCATCAAAGTCGTTGTAGTATAGTGGTAAGTATTCCCGCCTGTCACGCGGGTGACCCGGGTTCGATCCCCGGCAACGGCGAAAGGATTTTTTTTATTTTGAAATATATTTATTTGAAGAGTGGAGGGAAACAACGCATTTCGAGACTTCAAACCCCGCCATCTCTCTCTCTCAAGATCCTCCCTACAACGCCATTATTTCTTTGGAAATCTTGCTTTCTACTTAATTCTTTGAATGGCGAATACTAAAGAAGGAGAAGAGGCAGCCAAATCGGACGGTCTGGAGATCATCTCCATCGGATCTCTATACAAAGGACCCTGGGACAAGAAGTATTGGAGCTCCTCTAGGGTTCGTTCGTTTTTTCCCCCTATTTTTTGCTTTCTTTTTGCTATCTCTTTTTTTATCTTTTCTTTTTCTTCGATTTTGAATGATCGCGTTTAAGTTCTGTTTGGCTCATTTAAATAATTAGATCCTTTTAATGTTTTGAGCAAGGCCTAATGTAAATTTTGAATATTTTCATGCTCACAGGATTTTTTTTAAAAATGATTTTGTGTGGAATTGATATATATGCATAATCAACTTAGTGAAAACTGATGAACTCTGATTGATTGCCGATATGATTAGTAGTAATATTTTTCTGCAAATTAGGCTGTGAATTTGTAACTGACCTAAAAGTTTTCGGCAATCAAAGAAAGTTCTTTTTGAACTAACAGATGAAAAAGGTGAAAATTGAAGGGAAAAAGACTAAAAAACTGAGTGGCAAAGAAAAATTTAGTTTTGAAAGGCTACATAATCTAGTCGAGGAGAAATGAATTGTGACAAAAATAGAATTGAAGATGTACCGGTAGTATTAAATTTCGTTTACTAAAGGGATAAATAGTTAGTAAAATTTGTGTTGAAATTGTTGAACTAATATGCTTATTAGAGGATATGGAGATGTTTATTGTAATTGTCATTATATTGGCATGAAATAATGTCTCATTCAAGTGCTTTTACCTTGTTATTCTGTAGGGTAAAGATCGATATCCTTATCCTGTAGGATATCAAGCTGTTCGGGTTCACAATGGAAGCACTTATAAGACGGAAATTCATGAAGGTCCTAAAGGGCCTTTGTTCGTGGTGAATAGGCAGACTTGAAGTTTTTAGTTTGCACTTGTATCTTGTTTCCCATTCTCACTTTTTTCAAGCCAATTAATAGAGTAAAAGTATGCTTTCTATATGCATGCAGATCTCTTCTGAAGGACAATCGTGTTATGGACAAACTCCAGATATTGCATGGGAGAAATTGCAGAAGGTGGGTTGCCCCCATTTGAAGATATGGCATGGAAAGAGATTTTCGTGCAAGATAGACGGTGTGGAGGTATAATTTGGTGCTTCCTTTGCACTTTCAAGTTGCATTTTCCTCTCCTCTCCTCTCCTTTGTTGGTTAATAACATTGCCATTAATAAATTTAGTATGGATAATTGTGGCTTTGCTGATATTGTCTTTGTGCTCTTATTTTGTTAATGTGTCTTTTATCTGAGAAGCATTTTCTATCCAGATGACAATTCATCTCCACCCTTTCTTGTTTTCTAATTGTTTACCAAAATCTTAAAATTCTCTTCTATCAAATCCGTTTTATTTGTTAACGGCGACTACCTCCATTGTCTCTAGAGGGAAGATTTATCATAGAGGAGATGTTTCCTTATTAGAACATGATGATCTAGGGGCTGCTCTGGAGACTACTAAAATTTATCCATAATTATGACAATGAGTAAACACATGGAAATCCATCAAGTTACTGTCTTTGTCTCTCATCTTTACCTTAAATATTAATCTCAGAGACACTTAGATTAAGAGTAATAAACATGAGAAAAATCCTGCTCTGACATAAAGGTGAAGCAGTATAATGTAGAGCATATAAGTGATCTTTTTTCGTTGGTAGATTTTTGATTGGGTACTCAGGTTGTAGTATTCTTTGCAACCTATGCAATAAAAGTGCTCTAAAGAATTATTTTACAGATGTCAATATCTATTACATACATGCATATCATACACATATTTTAAACCTTTTACTTTTTTTCTTCGCTTTTTTTGTTATTTGTGGTACTTATTGGGACTACCTGACACTGCACTGTGTTTGACTTGTCCACCAGTCAGAAAACTCATTTCCCGTATCACTTTGTTCTTATTTTTTTCCAGTATTTTATCCATAACTTAGGATAGTGGAAGAAAAACCATAGATGATTGCACCGAGTTAACTTCTTTTTCTTTGAATTGTAACATGCAGATTTTTGGATTCAAAAATCCATTTGTCCAAAGGTTACTTCGGGAATTGGTGGCAAATGTCAATGAAGCAGCAGAAAGGAGTTTGTTATCTTCCAGCTTCTGCAATGGCGCTCCTAAAATGGAGCATGACAATAGGAGCTCAACTATCTGCACTGCTCCTGATTTACTACCATACTTAGCCAGGCCACAGATCAGGAAAAAGAGAAGTACAAGGTGTGAAAAAATGCAGAACAAGTCGGTTAATGGACCTGGCCTTAAACGACCCCGATCTAAGGATGTGATATATGATGCCAAGGGTTCAAATTTAGTACAAGGGAATCAAGCAAAACTTAAGCATGCATTTCCAGTAACTTACACTGCTTCAAAAGAAGAAAATGACAAATTTCCAGGAGCATCAACAGTGTACTCAAAATCATTTGGGGAAGATAATGATTACTCTTCAGCAAAAGATGGTTTTCCATTGAAATTTGTTGATTTCTCAGATCACCATGGGGAGAAAGAAGCCAAGAGCAAGTTTTTTAGTTCCCAAAATGCAAAACCCTCTAGGCTAGTTTACAGCACACCTAATGAGGTAATACTCTTATTATATCTTGCTGTCATTGTGTTCTTCCCCTATAGAAGACATGTTGATGCATTTTAATTTGCATACATTTTTTGTCTATCTTCTTGCAAAATTTAGGAGTTTATTGCTTACATTAGTCATACCAGCTGAAGCAATTCTTTTAGGAGCTGTTTCAGCAGAATTATCATCCTTTTCCATTTTGGAGACAAATTTACGAGAGATTGTGGTTTTATAGTCAGTTGCTGCAGTATTTGTTTGGCAGTTACAAGTAAAGTCAATTGCTACAATATTAGAAGCATTCTTGACTTCTTGCAGTTGGATAGGTCACAAGATACTGAACTGGAACGATTCAGTTTTCCAATAAAAACAGACAACAGACCTGGAGATTCACCAGTTCCAAATGACTCCCAGGGCATCAATGGTTTCCATCTTTGTGCACCTGATACTCTGGATTTTGAAGGTATTTCTTATCTGCAGTATTTACACTACAATGTTACCTAGATTTTATTTTCAGTTGTTGATAATTTTTCATTCTGCGCATGTACCTTTTTAGTAATTAGCCACAAAATCGATGCAGATGAATTGACAAATGTTGCTTCAAGTGCAAGTGATACAACTAGCAGTGTGAAAGAAGAGTTAACTGCAGCTAATATAGTAGTTTCTGATGGCTTGGTGACCGAGTCTCATCAAGAAGAAGAAGAAATAGGCACATCTAATTCAAATACAGGTTCTGAAAAAGGTGATTTTGATTTGGTAGGTCAGGAAACGGCTAAGTTGATGATGACAGTTTTACTTCCTCAAGCTATTCCTTTGCTTAAGGAGTCTTCAAGGAAGAAAAGGGAAGTCATTAGCCCATGCAAAGTATTGCCCCATGTGGTGAATTCTCAAGAGGACAACATTGATATGAACCATTTGTTGAATCTTCCATCTTCTGGTACTGCTAATCTTAAAACATTTGAATTTTTCTCTGAACATGTTAATCTTTGGCATGTAGGATCGAACACCTTGAGTCCCAATACTTTGTAGCTTCATTTAATCTTTTTCTTGCTGCTTGCTTATTAAGTGTTTTTTTTATTTTTTCCCTGGTAAACTTGCAGCCATCATGCTAACTGAGGATGCACATGTGGAACTGGACAAGAGAATGCATATCCAAACTTTAGACCATGGTTCAGTTGTGCCAAATCTTGAACATGCGAACTCTGTTATTCTTGACAGTTTTGAGGATGACCAGGGAGGGGATCGTATAGCTAGTCAAGCTCAATTATTTTCAACAAATGTGGAGCTTGATCAAACTAGTTTCAATAAAGACATATATCATTCCAACATTCAGGAACAGCTTGTTAGTATCAATTTGAAGCAGGAAACATCAGTATGTTGCGATGAGATCTGTGGGAAACAAGATACCATCTGCCACAAGGATGTAAGCATGGCTCCTAATAAAAAGCCTCATGATAGTGATGTAATCATATCTGAGTCTGTTTTAGGGTGGGTGTCTCCATTCATGAAAGCTTTCTCTGAAGATATACGAGATGTTTGTGTAAATTTGGATGAAAACTCAGCAGATATTGAAAATCATTCTGTGGAAAAGAAGCCCAATAGTGCACTTAATTGTGCTAAAGGTAAGGGCATTCAACCAACCTTTCTGAAAATTCACTTGTCAAATTTTCTTTTAAGTCCTGACTGGGCAAGCAAGTCTGCCTTAAACTGACCGACAAGATCCTAGTTTCCTAGCCTGCACTTAACCTCTACTTTAATCTTAAATTTTGAATTTACCTTCATTGTTAGAAACTATATCTAACAATGTCACCGGGAAAGGATCTTAAATTGTCCAAATAAAGCTGTTGAGGCTGCCAATTATGCAATTTACTGAATTTCTGATCGCCAGTTTATAAAAAATTTAAATATCTGGAACTCCGTGATAATTTTATTCTTTCTGTCTCAGTTAATCATGATTTTTATGGATTTCAATTTGACACAAATAATCATATTTCTGCAGTTGTGGATACAAACGATATAAATCCAAGAGGCATTGGAAATCCTGTGAAATCATCAGAGAGGGACGGTAGTGCTGAAACCAGGGCTCCTAAAACTAACTCTTCCTATCAATCCCAGAATAAAGTATATACCAGAAAGAAAGTCTCAAAACAAGCTTATTCAACTAGAAAATACACTGGTCCTCTCTCTGAAAGCATCATATGCAGAAATTCTGGAGATGATTATGGCCCTAATGAATCTGGTACAACAGGAACTTCTCTTGATTCAAAGAGTTGCTGCTCTTATGATGACAAGCCATGCAATAGAGACATCTTTGGTGCTACAGCGATGCTTGAAGGACTGTCCTATGGATTAACTGTGGAGAGAGCTAATACGAATTGCAAATCTGAAATGAGTAATGTGCTACCTGTTATATCTAATCAAAATCAAAAGTTGGCTTGTGTCTCTAAAGCAAAAGATATGTCATGCTTACTTGATCCATCTGTTTCACTTGAGAGGGGATTTCAAGAAAACTGTCACAACAAGAGGTTTGAAGATAGAATCATTGTAGAAAATGACTGTTCTGCTTCATGTCAAAATCAGTTGAGTAGCTTTTGTGACAAGAAGAGATCTTTAGCAAGTGAAGTTCAAGTTAGTTTAGATGTCAACCATTACAGGGATGTAGAGCTTAATAGTGATCTAAGGGGCATTGTCAACCTTGTAGGAGGCTATTTCCATCCTTTGCCTATCTCATCAGTATTGCTGGGTACAAAAGGAAATGAAATCCACATTTGTATTTCATGTGGTCTTCTTGAACATAAGAACAGAACCTTGTTCATCTACAAGATAGCTATTGAAGAACCAAGGATAGGATGCCCTTCTTTTGTTGGTTACACATCAGTAGCATTGCCATTTTCAGAAGTAAGCTTTGATTCAGATATGTTTTTATATATAAACTCTTTGGCATTTCTATTGTACTTATTGATTCCTTGACTTCGTTACACAGTCAGTGATAAAATTTGTGACCTTTTTTTTTTTGCTCTTTCCTAGATTGATTTAGAAAGATCTGGCTTACAATTCACCCCAGATGGGCAATGTCTTGTCTTACTTGACATCATTAAAACACCTTATTGCAGGTTGATGTTTCTTTGAGTTTCAATCATGTTAAACAGACTTGAAACATTGGTAATATTATACTAATATCTTATTTATTTTCTTAGGGAAGGGATAATAGATTGTATCTGCTCAATGTGTTCTTCAGGCTGCTTGAAGGAGAATGCAGTAAAAATTGTGCAAGTAAATCCTGGTTATGTTTCTTTGGTTGCAAAGTTGGAAACAGTTGAAAGTGTGCAATGTATATTGGTTTCTGAAAATAATTATCTTGTTGCTGCTGAAAAGAGTGGGAGACTGCATCTTTGGGTCATGAATTCAGCATGGAGGTGAATGTCTTCCCTTTCTCTCTATCTTATTTCGACCTCTTTATTCTCATAGTGGATGGTATGGTCTTCTTTTTATAGTTCGTTCTGCAAAACACTTACTTTGTGGTTTTAAGCATAGGTTTCATGATGTAGCAGTGAACGTAACATAGTGCAGAATTTTCAGCTGTTGTAAGGGCATGAATGCTTTATATAATCAGAGATAGATAGGGGAACCTTTTGCCCTTTTCCTTCACCCTTTTGAATTGTGTTCCCTCACCTAATTATTCTTTATGAAGCCTGCAATTTAACCTGTCTTCCTTGTCCACTTTTTGCAGTGCATGGACGGAAGATTTTATCATACCAACTGGTGACTGCATATCTTCTTGTGTAGTGGAGTTGAAGAGAATTCCAAAATGTGCTCATCTGGTGATTGGGCATAATGGTTTTGGGGAATTTGTTGTAGGGTATGTTGCCTATGTTTAAAAACCATATTCTTTTATATCGGTTTGGTGATTCTTAGTGTATATTGATTTGTCTCTAGTTGCTTGATAACATCATGGAAGTATTAATGTATTAATAGGTACTGATATTATGTATTTTTGCACCATTTTGTGGAAAGGGCTTCACAGAGAGTTTCTTGGTTAGTTGCTGATAGAAAACGGGTTTTATTTCTCAGGGATATTTTGAAAAGGGTCATCATCTCAAGATTTTCTGCTTCTGACAATCCAATTAAGCAATTCCTACCAATCAGTTTAGTTAGTTGGCAGCCTATTTTTCGCCATGCTGATATGAATGGGCGCATTGATGAAATCATTACAGCTACAAAAAATTGGTTTTCTGAAAATAAGGACTGTTCTCTGCTTCCATTAGTGGGGGAAGATATTGCTGTCTGGCTTCTTGTCTCGACCATCTCTGATTCTGATGCTCAGCATGAACATTTATCAAGTAATTGCCAAACAAATCCATCCAGATGCTGGAGGCTAGCCTTACTGGTGAAGGATAGGGTGATCTTGGGGAGTATACTAGACCCAAGGTGCACTAAAGTTCTATTTCCATATCTTAAATCTAAACTAGGTTTTTGCACACCTAAAGAGACATAATGTTCATAGAAATGGATTAATTCTATTGTGCTTTCTTAAGGATGCAAGTACCTTGTTTTCTCATATAAGATATTTCTCTTTGATGCATGTTTGGGTTTCTATAAAGAAAGAAGAAACGGATTGCTATTCAATCAGTTTTATTTAAGCCTGGTTAAGAACAGGCTTGAAAAAGGAAGTTTCTGAGACTTGGCAAGTAAATTTGTCAAAAAATAATTGTTGAAACTTATTGTGCAGGGCTGCTGCAATTGGTGCATCATTTGATCATGGGATCATGGGAAGAGATGATGGGCTGGTGTATATGTGGGAATTGTCCACGGGAACTAGACTTGGTATTTTGCATCATTTTGAAGGTATGCCTTGATTTGCTTTTTATAACTCTTTAACTCCGAGAAACTGTGGTATTTGTTTCATATTGTCAACTGAAGGAAGGGGACCATTGATCTAATTAACAGCATCTTTCCTTCTTGGACATTTTAGACCATGGTTCTTGACAATATCAAATGTAGTTCAAACAACAGAAATCTTACATAAAAAACTCTATTTGATATAATTCTGTATAGAGAAAATAGAAATAAATTGTCTCACAATATTCACTCGATTATCTGTATATGGGAAACACTTCCCGTTATCCATTGTCTTGCTTAGATTAGATTTTTGGAGCCATTTTTTGTGTTTTCTATCTGCCATTTCAGACGCTGCAAATACTTCAACAGTATTTGTTGTCATAGTTATAACAATGCACATGCATCTAATTGCATCAATACCCTTCTTTTTCAATGTTAGCTATTAAACAAAACTCCTTGATGGGCTCAATAATAGTTTGAAGTTTTAGGAAGCTTGGTTCATTGATAAGGTATTAAAGCTTTTTTAATCCAGTAATTTCAAGTTTGAATCTGGGCTTTTCTATTCTTCCTTTCTGTGGTACAACTGAATAGGGGGCAGCCTCTTCCTTGTAATAAACTCCCCATCCCTAGTGAAGACCGGATTCCATCCTAGGTTCCTGGTATAATGACGTATGACGACGATGGACTTTACCACCCAATCTAGTTGACATTTTTGGCTGTCTTTTCTTGATTCTGTTAAATTAAATTTAAACAAGGTATGTAATAGGCCTGTTTTTGATCGACAGAATCAAGGCACAGGTCTTGTGTCCAAGTGAGCAATGTTAGAGATTAAAATTAAACCCATATTCATGACCCTTCACTAAAGAGCTAAGCTATTAGTTGCATGGTTCTTTGACATTCAAGTTATGATTATGAAGAACATAGGAGAACCTTTGGTTAGGTTGTGATGATTTTCAAAGGATCTGATATCTTTTCCTTTATGTTTATCAGGTGGCAGTGTTTCATGTATTGCAACTAATGATTTGAGGCCAGATGTTATGGCTGTAGCTGCTGATAACGGCCAGTTGCTGGTTTATCTACATAACCAAGCAACTAAGGAAGAAATTAGCAAATAAGTCGTTTGGTCTCTTCCATGATTTTCTCTTGTTGTTCAACCTGTAGTTGTATAGTTGATACTTGTAATAGTGCAGATAAATCTCAATATAATTGTCTCATTTTGCTTGGTCACATATACATAGAGTTGCATTTTCTTTTCCTTGCTTTGTATATGGAATTGCAATACAACAATATTTTCTTTCAGCATCTTTATGCATATTGAGACTGCATTGAGAATCAGTTCCTAGTCTAAATCTGGTTTTAGTGTTCTCTTTATCTTAAACCATGTTGAACATGTGCAAGTTGCATCACTATGATTAAATTGCCTTTCTTTTGTTGCTGGAAGCTCCACAAGGCGATGTGAAGGCAGATTTTTTTTTTATTTTTTGGCAAATTTTAGGTACTGATTGGGATATACTCTTGCCATTATCTGCTTGCATAGATCATGCTGGAATGAGCTAATCCAGACACGTACTAAAATTTATTTTCAAATTCAAATTGAGTGATTTTTCTTGATAGAAAACTGAAGTGATCAGGTGAAAGTAAAGTAAAGCTCAATCTGATGAATAGATCGAAATAATCGAGAGAAAAGAAACGAATCGAGAAAAACAGGATCTGAATATTCTTGGGCGTGGCTAACTGGCAATGGACCCAAACTCAGTACAGAAAAATACAGCCTGGACAGGACAAAAGATAGTTAAAGTAGATCACAAAATCCAGCCATTGACGAAAACCAGTGGGCCTCTTATGTTCTTTTGCTTATTCATTAGATGCAGGCAAAATATCCCACTCCAGCTCTTCACGAGAAAAAAAAATTGTTGGAAAACTTCTATCAAAGCCATTTATGATTTTAACTTTTGCTCACCAGACAATTGAATTTTCAAAATGTTTCAGTTTAAATTTCAAATATCATTCAATCAAATCTGAAAAATCTCATAGATTCAAATTCAAATTCTATGCCTTATTGTATTAAACTTTAAAGAGAGATACATTTCATCAAGAGAGAACTGATGTAAAGCAATACCGTATGATAGTAATGATAATAACCAAAGTTGTCACCATATCTAAGACAAAAGGACACAAATCAAACTTCTACTTAGACTTAGAGGTGCCATTGGATTGCTTTGCAGGTTTTCCTCCAGGGTAATTGACCTCATCCCAGGCTTCAATCCATGTAACCATGGCATCAGCTAGCTTAATGAAGTAGGGATCCACTTCGCCAAGCTTGGTCTTGACCTGATCTGCAAGTGCACGATAACATTTTTGAACAGTAGTACAATCCTTTGGAATGGCTAGAGATTGGAAGAATGGGATTGCTCTTTCTTGCCAAAAGATGCCATTGTACTCCTTTTTGAGGTTAACAAATGGGTTGCTGGCTTTGCTGTGCCAAATGTAGGGTAGACCAGTCTTGACTCCCAATCCTAAGTGGTCACATATAACCTGGAAATTCACATATACATGATTAAATTAGAGAAAAATCAGTAGTGAGCTATGAAATTGTTACCAATTTTTTATATTGTCATATGTTCTAACTCTATCTGTCCTAATGTCATATAGCCAAAATGTCTGCCAAAAACAGCCATATTGTTTTCTGCCTATAATATTTGGACATGAAACAAGGATAATATTTGGACAAATTATTGGATGAGAAACAGTGCAGCTCTAAAACAGAACCACGTGATGGAAACAATGATTCATGAAGAACCAGTACCTTCACGCACCAACCAGCCCACATATCATCATATCTTCCAATTGGCTGTCCATCACCCATCAGTCCAAAGTACATTGCAGGTCCGATGAGTTCCCGGTCGAATGCCAGATTCATACCACACATTGGGAAAAGAGTTCCCTTAGGAACTGTCATGACTGCGTCAACATACCTTAAGAAAAAAAAAAAAAAAAACAAGTAATGAATGACTACATACAAGGCCAAAATTTTGCAAATCAAGTTCAAAACCACCATTTACTCCCCAGTGATAGATGCATATATACCTAGTATTTCTCTCACGAGGCTTGACAAGCTGAGTTGGCGCATCGTAATCAGGGATGTTGAGCCACAACCCATGGGAAACAGCAGTAGGGACACCCTCTCGGAGACTAAAAGGGTAACCACGGACAAAGTCTGCACCTTCTCTGTATGGATCATAGAGTGTGTTAAAGAAGTGTGGAGTGGATGGTGTTAAGAGGTTCTTAATGTGCTGCTCAAGCGCATTGATATCTTTCCCAGATGGGTCTTTGGCAACCTAAACATTAAAAGAGAAGACATCAAAGAATGAAACTGTTAAAATTTTCATAGGAACAAACAACCTAAGAGAATCAAAGTAGAACATTGGAGTTAACTGCAGTTTTATCAGGACATGAAACAAGTAATGAAAGATTTCACAAACAAGCTAAATAATATATAAAAAAAAAAGTATGAATTATGAACTGTCTGATTAGATCTGTTCTGTACGATTACGTTACTTGAACTTTGGCCCTAACAATAACATGAATCAACAGATTGCAAATCGAATATTCTGACAGACAGTTGATAATCAAATATTATGTTAATTCTTTCACTGCATTTTCTCATTAACTAAACAGAGAACAGAGGGAGAAATATAGATCATTTTTAAAAGGAATTAAAAAAGGAAAAACAAAACTTAAAGCCCAAAAAAGAAAAGCTTTTATAAAGGGTTTTAGAGAAACATACAAAGCAATCATCATCAATGGTAAAGATGTATTTTTTCTTGGAAACAAGGTAGCCAAAGCATCTACAAGCAGAGTCCTTGAAGGAAATGCAAGAAGCCTTTGGACCCAAAATCTTATTAATGTCGTTCCTGTTAAACAGCTCATAATCAAAGCCATCAGGAACCCTGATGGTCCTTGAAGGGTCACCATCTTGGACGATGATCAAATGGTATTGCTCGAAAAAGGGTCTCCACATCTCCAAGAAGTCAAGGTTTCGAATGGTGGGGATTACAATATCCAACTCATCTTTCAAGAGTGGTGTGGGTTTGGCTGAAGAAGTTGCCATTGAAGAGAGCCAGAGCCAGAGCCAGAGCCAGAGCCAGAGACAATGATACAGAAGGAAACAGAGTTAAAAAAAATTTAGAAAAGGAGTGAAGGGGTTCAACTTCAATGACTAACGACGAGATTTGTCTCTCCATATATAGCGAAGATATTTTCCCTTTTGTTTTTTTTTTTTTTTTTTAAGAAAGGAAAATATTAGATAGATCCTTGAGGTCTTGATGAATGTGAATCGGGGCTCTCTTCTTTTTCTTTGTTTGCTTTTCCCCCCTTTTTATGGGAATAGTAAAGTGGAATTGGGTTTCTCAAATAATTATGGAAAGAATTATTTGGTTACTTTAACTAATCTTCATATAATTTGATTAACTTCTAAAGAGAATGATAATTTCTTTATTTGAGAAATTGATTATGAAGTACTCTAATTAGTATGTAAAACATTAAAGATTTAATCTAATAATTGTTACCTTACTTAGAAGAGAAAAAAATTTCGAATTCTCTTTTTGTTAAAATTATATGAAATTTGATCCTAAAACGAATGTATTGATGATTAACAACCAAAATTGCAATTTAAAGGTTTTAAATTTGAATTTAAAAATTAAAAAAAAGTATATTTATTCAAAGGGAGAAGATTGCAATATAATTAACATAAAAAGTTTTTTACAAGTTTCATACTAAAATTACCTTACTTGTTATAGTAATTATTAACGTAAAATTCAGTTTAGTTTTTAACATAATTTCCAATTATAAGTTTACAATTTTATGAGGTGACATGATATTTTTGGAAATACGAATCTAACTCAAATTAAATCAACCTAAAGAACTATATCAAAGACGTATTTTTGAATTTTGTAATATAAATTTTATAAAAATTTCACGCATTTGAATGTTTTTAATAGTTGTATTAGATAATAGTAAAAGGGCCACAACTAAGAGTAGAAGCATTATTGTGCAAATTTATGATCAATTAGTTAATAGGAATTTTTTGCCTAATTGTTGGTCATGCTTCAATTTATTGTTCATTAAAGTGAATTGAATTAAAGTACTATGTGGTATATAAATATCTGATAAGCTTACATTTTTCTTGGTTCTTATTGAAAAGAGCACTTTTGATATTAAAAATGCCCTCATACAATGAGTGCATAGAAAATCACTTTATTAATTTTTTTTTTCATATAAATAAGGTTATAGCTTGTGGATAATTACAGTATTTATATAAAAATCTTTTAAAAATTATCCTTAATAAGTTTAATAGTGTTGGATCTTTGTTATATCTGATGTGATAATCATATAAAAATGTGTGTATATATATATATATATATATACACACATTTAATAATTTATAAAATAAGATAATACGCATTTTAATTTTTTTAAATTCGTAGATTTCATAAATTTGATTATTATATTTATCACTTGAATTAATATTCAGTTGGGTCAAAATCTAAAATTCTAAATCTTAAAGTATAAAAAATTGGTTTTTTTTTTTTTTTTTTATAAATAGTCAAGATTGAACAAATAGTCTAATTGTATTTAACAAGTTTGCATAATTAATACACAATTCTTGATTTGGGTTAATAATAAATTTAAATAATAGTAGTAATGATAGTAAAATCATGTTTGCACGAATAAAAATTTAAAATCAAATGCCAACAGTAGTGTAAACTTTTGATTTCAGCTCAATGAAAATTATACGTACGATGTATTCTTTTTTCATTTAAAGAGTATTGGGTTCACAAAATTTTTTCTTTCAACCCTTGTGATTAAAAAAATAATAATAATGATTGAGAGGGTTGGCATGGTACAAGTAGATCTATTCAAAGGGTCGGATTATTTGTCCAAATCAAAAGATTACCTCAAGTTTTGAGAGAATTTGAAAAAAAAATTGTTAAATAAGTTTAAACATAATTTTTAAATTTATTAAAATTTTGAGCCGATTTTAGATAAAATATTTAAAACTCAACCCAACCTGACCTGAATTTATATATATTATTTATATATATGTGAATTATATATTAATTAATTAATTCATATATATATATTAAAATTAAAAATTATATATTTTATCAAACTTAATTTTTATTTTAATTTTTATATATATATGAATTGAATATAATCTTATTAAATTTAATTTAATTACATTCTTTTAAATTTTTATTATATAAAATAAATTTAATTGGTGAGTTTAAAATTTATTTTTTTAATTTAAGTTGAATTTAAAAAAATTTAAAGGTCAAAATTTTGAATTGGACCGAACTTAAATAAACATATATATTATTAATATCAAGCATAAATTCAATTCAAACCCGGTACATAAACACCTCCAATGAGACATAGAAGAAGAAAGAAGAAATATAGAGTTGTAGAAGATTCGGAAAAATTAATGAACATGGCTCCCAACATGGAGATCATAATCCAAACATGACACATGTTTATGTGATTTTTTGTCGGGTAGTTTCATTTGTCAGAGTGGAATACGCAAGCAAAGGAAGGATGGATAAAAAAAAAAAAGAAAAGGATTATGCCTTTGATAGAACGTGGTTTGACAGCCAAATGAAGGTCAGGGTTGCATGTTTTTTTCACGTTCACAGCCTCTAACGGTCAAGGATGCATATTTGTAATATGACATGTTGAAGCCTTCCATTCTTTTAAATTAAACGTTTTTGCACCACATGCGACACATGCTTTGCTTTGCTTTTCTGTTCTTTTCAGCTGATATATTACCAAACCCACTAATTTTTTTCCTTTACTTTTTGAAAGGTTTTCTCACATGAAATGTATTATCCAAAAAAAAATTGGGTAAATCCAGCGGAAACAATTCTATAGGCTATAGTTAGACCAAAATCAATCCACTACGTGGCAGAAAAGGACTCTTTCAGGCCCAGCAAATGTAGCAGGTGCTTTCCTTTCAACTTCCTACAGCATGACAGCCCAGCTCAGCTTTACATCTCATTGTCCCAGATCCAAAACTTTGACATTGAGTCTTCCCACAGTAGTCACTCTCGGTTAAACGAGGAAAACTTTGGTTTAATTCAATCATAAATCCATGCTATATCTGCACTAATATTTATTAGAAAACTTTAGTACTTTGAAATCCTAATGTGAAGTCCCTTTGGTGCTTCAACTCTAGGGAAATGATGGATTTCATTTCTACCAGCTTCCTCCCACCTGCATTTAAAAGTAGATAATCACATGTAGCTAATTTGACTATGAATAAGAATTTGAAGAAAAAAAAAAGAGAAAATCCAGAATGGGTATAGCATTGCAGATTGTGTTTTGGGAAATGAAAAGTTGTGGGCTATTGTAGCCAACCTGTAACTGGTAACAAAATAGTGAAGGAATGTAGAAATTTGGAGTATGCCCAATTCCTTTCCAGGACAAAGCCTGCTGCCTCCTCCAAATACGAAGCAGTAATTGTGAGACTCCAAGTTCTTATCCTGCAGTTCAGTTGGTTAATGTATTTATGTGATTTGAGGCTTATAAGCAGTAAAATGAACTATGGAATACTTCAAGTTTGTAGTTACTCACCAGCCATCTCCATGGATTGAAGGTTAAAGGCTCTGGATAAAGGAATGGATCATAGTTAATTTCCCTTGTATAAACATATATTCTCCACCCTTTGGGAATGGTAAATCCTGACAGGCACATTGGAAGTGTTAGATAGATATTATTGCCATATCTGGTGTCTTATGCCAAAAGAAAAAAAAATGGGAAAAAATGGGTTGGCTAATAACACATGACAAATTCTGGCTGTGGCCAACAGCTACGTATAAAAAATTCTGGCTGTGCAGAAAATCCTGAAACTTGACAAGGGAAAATTAACCCCTTGAACATACCATTTAATACCATATCTTCTGTTGTTTTTCTCAACACCCCATTAACAATTGTAGCTAACCTTGAGGTTTCAAAAATTACCTGCACAGAAAAGAGATTGAATTAAAACTTTAGAAAGATATACTAGTTGCAAAACACATGGGAAGCTGGTGGCAAGAGTCAAAGTTGCTCACAGCACGAGTAAAACTCATAGACTTGTAATCATTCCAGTCAATTGCTTCTCCTGGATTTTTCTTTTCTCGGATAGCGACATGCTCTTCCTAGGCAAGTTAAACCATACCAGAATTATCGAAACCATAATTAAGAAAACATTAAGAATTCAAGCAGGCGAAACTGTCACTCACTCTTAGTTCTTGAAATGCTTTAGGATGATCACGGAGATACTTGATGGCCATCATTGAAGTAGTGGAGACGGTTTCATAACCTGAGTACAATATAGTAATGATTTGATCAATTATCTCCTCATCGCTGAGATTGTACTTTGAGTCTTCGTTATGGAGAAGGCGGTCAAGCATGTCATCATAGGCTATTGAAGAGGCTCTTCTCTCCTCCATAATCTGTTTCAACATCTTGACAATTCTTTGCCTTCCCTGAAAGAATCGGAATAGAAACGTCAGTTAAACTCTTTTATAGAAAATCATATAGAAATGTTTACAGGGCATTATTTAGTCTTCAACAATATACCTGGAAACCATGATGGTAATTTGTCCCTGGAATGTTTATTGGCAGTGATAGTGTTCCTAATAATAACTTATCAAACTCTGGTTTGAAAGTCTCATACAGTGAAGTTGATTCCTTTTCAACAATTTGCTTGAAGGATATGGACAATGCCATCTGTGCAGAGCAATTTCAAAAAAGATAAAAAAAGAATAATGATAATAAGCAAAGAATTTTTTGCTCTGTGCTTCTTTAAGATCATTATGCAAACCTCATTGGTTCTTTCTTGGATGTCGATGGTTTCTTCATTCCAGTTCGAAAGGAAAGATCTCATAAACTTGTCAATTTTTGGCAGCAGCTCATCTTTGATCACAAGAGGGCCGATAAGAGACAGCAATGACCCTCTGATATGCTTGTGAGCAGAACCATGCACTGCTGCAATGTTGCATTTCCCTAGTATATCAAGCATGGATTGCGGGTAGCCAGGAACAAGTCCTTTTCCTTCATTCATAAGGATGTATCTATTGAGCTCAGGATCCATGGAAACAATAGTTGGACATCCCAATATGTGAGTCTTGAATAAACTTCCAAACCTGTCGAAACAAATGTAGGAGATTTGGCTTTACAATTTCAAAGACAAATAACTACAACATCCATTAGAACTGTGTTCTTGTCAAAAGATTAACTCCATTTGTTTCATGCAACTTCATAGAGGAATGTGATTTCCGTGGTTCTAAACTACATCAAACCCATGGGACATTGGTCTCTGCCTTTGCCAGGGAATCACCTTTTTATGATTGTTTCCATGCAGATATACAGTATACAACAAGATGGAAAGATCCATTAACCATGTCATGCTTATTGTTGTTATCTGATGACTTTTTTGAATCAAGAAAAAGGAAGTTTCCCGGTTAATAAAAGGCATGATTGAAACTACACTATTCTGCCTTTGTCATGGTGTCTTTTAAGGTGAAAGGATAAAAAAAACAACTTGCTACAGTTAAAACTTAAAACAAAAATAAAACAAGTAGAAAAGTCACATTTTCAAGTCAACCAACTTGAGAGAAAGAGGGAGGGAGTGAGTGTGAGCAGCAAAAGGCTTACCTTGCTCTCTGCTTTTTCATGAAACTTGGTCCATGTTTGAGAAACTCTGTAGTCTCACCAAAAACTGGCCAACCCATAGTCCCTGGAGGCAAGCCTTTTCTTCTACCATATCTTATCCCATTCCATTTCAACATAGCAAAGCAGATACAGAACCCCAAAGCAAGACAACAAGCCACAACCAGCACCAAAACTGCCATTGATGCTCCCAAGAAAAACCTCAAGAGGCGTGCTGCAAATAGTATGGCTTGTTCAGGCTTTTAAGAATGTAAAAGGTATGTGCCTTGACAACTACAACAAAGTCGGGGCAAGAGAGAGACAAAAGGGCAATTCTAAATAGGCCAAAACCATGCACCCACCTAATAAGCCCCTAACTATTATCAATACCTGTGTAGTAATAAATGTAATAATAACGATAATAAATGTAATAATAAAGACTACAAGACTTTAATCTTAAGCAGAGAATCACTACCCTCTTATTGCAGATCTTTAGCCTGAAGTATGGCCAAAGAAGTGACTTGTTAGTACAATTCAAAGGTATTTTGAGAGTTTTGCACAGCCCTATTCACAAAACATGTTTCGTGTATGAATCCTTATTAATTCTAATGCAAATTCATTGATATGGAGTTGCTATGTGGCCTTTATGCAAACTATTTGCCACGGTTTCACTCAATCACTTAAGCCGAGGATGTTATGATGCGACTCCCAAATATATAGAAAAAAAAGAAAGGCCCGACTTTAAGTTGTAGGGGTTTCAATCTGAAGGCTAAATTACAGAAATCCTATTGAAGTTCATATCAAATAGGATTGTTTTTCAGCGTCGAATGTATGTTGATCATTGCCGCGCATACCAAAAGATTTATATGTTACATGACATATAATAACAGGGAAAAAAACCACTTGGTACTGTGAGGGAGTGAAAGATAGTTTTGTTGCCTATTCAACTCTGCTTCTGCAAGTTTGAAATGCCTATGGTCCTTGTGTCGTTGTTGTAATGTGCTTAAGGAATATCATGAACTGGCATTAAGAGAGTTCATAGGAATGGGTGCCAAGAAATTTGATAGGAACTATCTTTGTCAAATCATTGACTGTACTATCTCTGACTTTTGGACTATACTCTTGATAAATATCTTGCCAAAGAAACAGTGTTTTTATGTTCGCGAAATTTTATATTTCGAAAAAAAAAAAGATTTTCGAAGAAATGCGATGTTTAAGTTTTTTTTTTAGAGTATTTTATAGAAAAAAAATTTACGGATATTAATTTTTATATAATTATTATAATTTTTTTGATATATATAATGATAATTTTTTATTTTATTTTATTAACAATAAATATTTAAAGGATAAATAATATATTTAGTAATAAAAAATAAATATTTTAATTGATTACATTTTTTATTTATAAAATATAATCAATTAAGACATTTTAAAATATTAACCTCTTAAATGATTTTTTTATTATTTTATAACTGATTATTTAATATTTTTTTTATATCTTAAATGATCGATTTTTATAATATATAAATTTGATCATTTAAAATATTTTTATTTACAAACGCTTTAAATATTTTTTATTTTATAATATCTTATTTTATTAATTATTTAATATTTAAAGCATTTTTTTTCACAAATATCTTAAATAATCAATCAATACAACTTTTTTTTCAAGTCAAATGTTTTATTGATATACATATTTTCCTGTCAAAGACATTAATTATAATATAAAAATTAAAAAAATTTGACAAAAATTTACAACTGAATTTTAATCACTTCTAAGCATGTTTTTTAAAAGAATAATAGTTACGTAATAATTTTTATTTAGGTCAATTTTAAAAATAAAATAATTTTTTCTTTCAAAATCTTAAAATATTACAACAAAATATGAATTTTTGATTCTAAAATTTTGAGTACTATTAAAATTTTGTTTTTTTTTTTGTAATCAAAATATTTTAAATTAAACGTGAAAATTAAATACTTGCTATAAAGATTACGGAGGAAAATTTATAAATTTTTTGAATTAAACACACTCTAATAGATTACTATCTTTGAGTTATATTTTTTTTATGATTTAAAATTTATAAAAAAATAAATTTAATAATTTTATTTTATTATATCATTTGTTTTTTATATTAATTCTATTAATAATATGTTGATATAGTAAGAATTCAAAATATCAAATTATGATATGTGATATATTTTATTGATCAATATTTATTTTATTATTATTTATTTAATATAATTAGTCAATAATAAAAAATACTTAGATAAAAACAAAGTTAACATACCAATTATAAATTTTTTTATAAATATCAAAATTATAAAAAATAATATAATTCAAAGATCAATTTTCATATTTACTCTCTTTAAATGGATTGATAAACAAAAATGCCAGTGTTTTAAGAACCCATGAACCTTTAAACCTTCATTAATTCCTATAAGGATAAAGAAAAGAAATGTTTTAACTGATACCTGGTCTCCCAAATCCCGTCAACATATAATCTTTCAATAATTAAAAAAAAAAACATGTAAATTCAGCACGTACCACTAAAGGCATCAAATGATCATGACTTTGCTTCGATCCATTTGACTACATTCAACCATAATCATCACCTGTGCACAAAAACAATGTCAAAATTCTGGTAAATGAAATATTTAAAAAAAAATAAAAAGTTAAAATTTTCTACAGGTTGAAGTATTATTTTTGGATGATACGAATCCAATGCACAAGGCCTAATGGTTAAATTTTTTTTTTATCTCAAATCTTTAATTTAATAATTAAAAATATTTAAAAATATATTAAAAATTTAATTTCGAACCAAACCTTTCTTTTTTTTTTTTCATTTATACTAAAGCTTTATTTTTTTATGTAAAAAAATATATATTAGATTTTTTTTGTTAAAATTTTTTTTTGCAGAGGTGAAAGTCAGAGAGGACAGAAGCAAAATTTCCATTGATGAATGATTTATGAATGACGCCAAATTTGACTTGGTTCACAACAAACAGCAAAGAGAGTGAATGGGATGGTAAAATTTGATAATTTTAAATTTAATACAATATAAAAATATAAAATAGTATAATTTAAAATTTAAAAAATTGTAAATAAATTTAATAAAACAAAAATATATATGTTATATTTTTATATTAATATAATATATATTTTTTATATAAAATAAAATATAAATATATAAATTATCAATATCTTAGATAGTACGAATGCACGAATTTTCAGCATAAATATTATTTACAAGCAAGACCAAGCTTAAAGGCAAACTGGAAGCCGCCCGTGTGGGTAAAAACTAAATGTCAGGCAGTCAGTTCCCCCACGTGCTACTGTTTTTATTCTCTACTTTGATGCTTGATGTGATTTGTCATTGCCTAACCCGGCCACTTCGGCCTCTCTCTCCTTCTGCGCCTAACTGATTGCTCCTGTTTCTCTTTTCCCTCCCATCTTAACTTCCCGTTCCCAATCCATCTTTCATACTAACTATATTTCCAGGACAAAACCAACAATTTCGTTAGGTTTTTTTTTCCCTCCCACCCTCCCTCCTTATTTCTTTTCACTTTTTCAAAGGTAAAAGCTAATGTTTTATTTACATCAAATCTATAACATTCAGGCACATTTGAATCTCTTCGTACCCATATCGCATTCATGTTTGACATTTGATGGAGAAAGAAAAAAACAAAGATAATTTTTTGAGTAATAACATTATATATTTTATTTATTATAGTGTCTATCATCCAATTTTACTTAGGAGAATAATTATTTTTTAAAATCAATATAATATCTATCATACATTCTTAATTGATAATTATAATATATTATAGTTTTCAAAAATTATCATGGTATCCATATCGTATAATACCATATTATGTGTTCTTATTCATGCTTCATGGCATCAAATACATATTGCCAACCCCTAGTATGTAGTGGATCCATGTTTCGAGGGTTCAGCTCCTTTGCTACATCTGTTTTGTGCTTATGTTTGGGTGTGTTTCTTCTAGCATTTTCCTTCAGCCAATCTGCGTGAATCTGGTTATGTTAATATAATGTTCAGAGAGAACTTCAATCCTGTGAGTTTGTGCAGAAATGGAGAAATATCAAGTCACAATCCAATTAAAACGATGACAAGAATATAAAACACTTGTCATCATCTCAAGAAACAATTTCAACAGCTTTGCCTAAAACATTATCAAGCAATTTGATGTTTGATTAAGTATATATCTATATGCTCAATGTTGGATACAAGCACCAGAGAAAATGGTAGCCAAGAAAAAGTACATTAAAAAATCTATTTTAATTAAAGATCCTAATTACTCGAATTAAGAGTTAAATAAAAGTAACATAAGAATCAATAATTACGTAGTTACTTTGTTTTATTTTATTGTAATGCTAGATCTTAATATAGACTTCTTTAACTTATTTTCATGAGATTGTTAGCATAGCATGTGATAGAGCCCTCCTATAATACCAGCTCACATGATTCATTTAGGATTAAAAGAATGAATAAACAACCTAGTAGTTTTCAGGGTTTGGTTGAATTTCAAGTCCTAGAATCACAAGAGTCAAGCTTTGACTAGTTTGAATAACACACTTTTCTTTATCTTCATTTTCGCTTTAGCTGGAAATCTTTTTCCTCTTAAAAGCTCTGCTGCTCTGCCATAGTGTTGAAAGTTGAAACCCTGACAATTAGTCAAATTATTCCACTTGGACTGATCTGCTTACCTGTGCTAGCCAGAGTCAATATTCGACTTAAAGTTAACAATTTTATTTTATATCTTTCCCCTGGATTTGAACTTTGATCAAACTCTTGGGCCCTTGAATAGAGTTTCAAAATCAGTAGGGTAATGCTATTCTAGGAGTATATATAGCTTATTAAATGGTACGACTGACAACCAAAGATAACTGCAAAACGAGTTTTGAATCTTTCGATAATTGTCCAGATAAGTGACGATTCCTCCTTGCCAGGCTTGATGAACAATGCAACTTATGACTTTGGCATAAAACGTTTACATATATATATATATATATATATATAAACGTTATCTGTATTGCTCATCAATAAATCTCAAACCTCTGCATTCCACAGTTCATAACACAATTTCCAGTTTCTGATAATTTATTAAGATACAAAATGCTATTCATAGGCCCATAATTGCAGAACATGTTGCTGATGATGATCCAGGCTGCAAGCAAAAACATAAAATCAGTTCAAATGTGCTTTGCTCACTTAGGATGATTTATATACAAGCAGACCATGAATCACAATAGATGAGAGGTATAGGCCTATGGCTACCTATTTGCGCCAAATCAAGATATTAAGCAATTGCGGCACTTTGTCAATATAGTTAAGGAAGGTGGACGAACTAAAGAAAATGTTAGAGTCCTGGTTACAGGTATGGGATTGGGATACGAGATTTCCTGCTGAACTTGTTCAATAATTTGTACGAGGTAGGACTAACTTTTGGACTTAAAAGTTAAAACATATTCATGTGAAGAGTGAATTGTGTTCTTGTTCCAAACAAAAAGGGAATTGGTGCAAAAAATTAGGTTTCTGATAAGCTAAACCTGATTTAATAGCAAAGCAGACAACTTTTATGTTCAACATTTGACTCATTTGCTGCACTGTGCAGATGTTGCTTCCTAATAAGTAATATCAGTTTCATGTTATGTTGCTCAAACTTGGGTACAATTATCAGATGAAACAGGTATATCCATTGCCTCAACTTGTATCCACTTTGAGGCATCTGCTATGCTATGTGTCCACTGGCCATTTATGAAAATGAATAGCTGAAACCACCCTAAGAAGGGGCCTATGTACTTCAGTAAAAGTTCAACAATGATGTAAATTCCTACTGAAAATTTTGAAGAATAAGGAGGAACGCTGATCTTACCACACAAGAATGGACATCATCACAGCCGCACAGCAACTTTCCATTCAATTTGTCAACAGCTTCAAACACTCCTCCTCCATCACTTCTCTGCAACAATAATCCCAAGCAAACACTTCATTTGACTTGAGAAGAAAATCCCTGATGCCAAATTACGAAACTGCTCATCTAAGAGCAACATATCTGTCTGTGAAATATGTACCTTATAATAGTCAACTGCAACAAAGTTAGCCCACCGGTTGCCTGCTGTACCATAGCATGTATCAAGCATACTAACAACATCTGCTGAATTGTCTTCACAAGTCGTCCCTTTCATTGGAATTGAGCGGAAGTGATTTATCAAAACCAGAGATTTAGTTTTGTCATTGAGTGGTGTCGACTCTCCACGGTTGCTACATTCTCCTGCATGCTCCCCATCATCCCCATCTGAAATTTAGGATAAAAGTATCTAAATGCTATCAAGAGAGAAAATGTTGTAGTTCTTAGATAGAATTCTCTTATAAGATAACTGATGAACTGAGGAAGTGGTAGTACATTGATTTTCAACCACGAAGTTCCACTGATATGCTATTCCTTCACTTTCTTGCTTAGACATCTTTGAAGTGAAGACAATAAGCCTCTGGTTATTAGCAACCATATCCTTCACCAATGGCCAATCTTGACCATTTTGAGGCATACTTGAGACTGGAAACCAGTACTTCATTAAACCTGAATCTTTGAAAACTTTTGACAAGCCATTTGGGGTCTCAACATAGTCCTCCAGGATCAGTGTCAAAATTTCAGATGGATTTGCGGATAAAAAGGCCTCTACTTCCTTTAAAGTATCAATAGCAAGCCCCTATAAAGAAATACCAACCTGTTATCATTATCATAAATTTTCTTTTCTGTTTTCCTTCAAGAGAAGAGGATGCAAATTGGAAATCTAACTGTTTTTCTGCTTTAAACAATGAGATCTGAATTACTCACAAAGGCAGTATAGTCATGACACTTTCCTTCAAAAGAATGGCACAACCATACGTCTCCCTTGAAATCATATGTATCCAGCATCAATGCTCGAACTCCATTCTGTAAAATTTACAGTTTTAACAAAGAAATCAATGAGCTAGAAGTGAATTTCAGAATACAAAAAGAGGATTATCCCAAAAAATGGTCTTACATTTAATTGTTGTGTTACAGTGTCTTCTTGATTTAAAAAGGTAAGTCGAATTCCAGTATGAAGTGGCTCCTCTTCGTTGGCAAAGGAATTATGTGTTGTCAAAAATGCGTATTTGTTGAATGGTAAAGAATTGTTCTGCAAGAAACATGATATCAGTGAAATTCCTTTTTCTCAAGTGAGAATAACCCATGATCTAGCCAATTAAAATTTATGAACCTGAAAATTTCAACTAGAAACTACAACATAAACTGAAAATTCATGAACCTTAAGGAAATGATCTTATAACAAGAACTGAATTATGTAATTCAGGGAACAGAATTGTTATGGGTTTCTGAGTTGTTAAGAGACAAAGATATGACTTTACCACCAGCTTGAATTGGTTGGTAGTTGTTGATCTGATACATCTTGAGCCATCAAAGGCTTCAGAACAAGACAAACATGACAGCCCGGGTTGGCAGTCTCCATCAGATGAGCATTCATCTAGGAGCTACAATAAAAAGAAACATCATTAAAATCAAAGGTAACTCAAAAAACCACAAAAACCAAACCAAAATGTGTAGTAGTAGTAACCTTGTGTTGTCCATTAGAACTAGCAAAAGTAGTAGCAGTAGTAACAGCAAAAAGACTGATCAGAAAAACTGAAAACTGGATTAAGTGCAGGTTTCTTGGGTGACCCATTGGGATAAAAAATGATAATGGTGTCTTGGGGAAGTATGACCAAAATCCATGGAGATAATGCCATTAATAATGGCTGCTAACTGCTAAAGAAGGAAAGTCTTGTAATTGTACCATCATATTTCATTTCGTGGGCATTGGTGAGGTGCAATGAAAATGTAACTGAATATGGTCCTAACTCCTAAATGACGAAATTGGAAAGTGTCCTGTCATATATATGTCTTTCATAATCTCAAACTCAACAAATTGGAACAGTATCTGTTTTGTCTTCCCTGGCCACTTTCCCTTTGTTGTTCTAAGTCCAAAAGACAAAATGCATACATTATTTCAGCTTTATTTTTTTGAACCTGCATGAATTATTTCAGTTTAAAAGTTAGTCTCTGTTCTTTTGAAACTAAAAGTTTATTCTCTTTTTTGTTTTTTTCCTTAGTCTCTTAGAACATTAAAATTTTCCATTCAAATTTTATTATATGTATATATGATTTAGTTCTTTATTGAACTTGTTTAATTATGTTCTAAGTTAATTGGTTGATTATTGTGATTTTTTAATATATAAATATAATATCTAATTATGATAGTAATTTGTAATAAATAGCAAACAAGTATTAACATACAAAGGTGTGTGATAGCAAAAACTAATTAATAATAAAATCACCAACTGAACAAAACATTGATTAGTAGGATAAAAAGTTATAAATTTGATCCAAATATAATAACTATTGCTGTCAATATCAGTGACCGATAATATAATATTTTTTATACTATAAGTTTTATTTAATTTCATTTACTTTAAGCAGACGGCTAAAAATTTAGTGCCACAAGGTACCGACCTAAAATTGGCCCGCCACCCGAAAACTACGTTGAATGCAATTGGACCAGGTCGCCCAGGCCCAACTCAGGGTTCTTATCAGTTACCTCACGGGCCACGGCTCACACGGCAATATCAATAGCCGACAGGGTTGGTGCAGGTGTCCTGCCCCGGCTGATGTCTTTGAACTATGAGTATTTCAACTTCAACTAGGGAATAAACGTGCCCGCCAAGCTCCAATTTGTTTATAAATAAATAAAGCATTTCCAGACCGGGACAGCGCCAAAAAAATCTGAAAGAGAGCAAAAACGTCAAGCATGCCGACCCTTACAAAGCTTTATACCATGGAAGAAGCCTCCCAGCACAATACTAAAGATGATTGCTGGGTCGTTATTGACGGCAAGGTTTCTTTTTTTTTCTATTTTTCTTGATTTTTTTTTTCCTTTTGGTTTTAAAATTTTCAATCAGATCTGTTTTTGCTCATAAATTCTCTCCTGGGATTATGGGTTTTACTCTGTTTTGGTTATTTGGATTAGACCTTTTGACTCTGTCTAGTTTTCGTTTTGACTTTTGAACGGAACAATTCTGGTGTTTTGGTTTCTTACTTTCTTTGGATAATAACCCATTACTTTTTGCTTTCTTCTTTGCATATCTCTTCCTTGGTGTTACATTGCTTGGAACCTTTCATGGCTGATCTCAAACACAAAATACAAGTTGGGCTAAAACTATGCAAACTTTAGGTTCTTTTTGGGGGGCTGGGGGTTAGGTAAAACTTGCAAAACCCAAGTTTGGGATTTGCATATTGCTCATAGAATTTTGCTTGAAGGGAATGATTATGGTTGTGCTGGGCTTATCATATGCTTGTTGGGTTCACTCCTTTTATTTGGTAGGAAAACAATCTGTCTTTGTTTTGGGATGTGAAAAACAACATCCCTATCTTAGTCTCCTCTCTTTAAGCATTCTCTGTTTTGGAAATTGGACAGCTTAGACAATAATCATGCCTCGGCCCTCATCTAATTATCATGTTGGATCCGTGGCTCCATATTCATTTTCCAGCAGAGCTGAAAGCATTATATTTTGCTATTTGTAGGTTTATTTTTCCTCATTTACTGTGCTCATTTGTGATGCTACTGGCTACTTTTATTTGTCACTGAAGTTTTTGCAATGATATTTAAAGTGGTGTCCTATCCCCATCTGTGGTTATTATTTGAAGTGTGTAAATGTGTTTCTAGTTACTTAGTCCGCGTAAATTTTAGCTGGTCTGTGCTTTTAGAGCTTTTTTTCACCAAAGTTACTCAAAAGGAAAAAAAAAAAAAAACATTTGGTGTATACTTGAGGAAAAACATCACAACTCTTTCCATCAAAGGGACTGGCAAATGCATGCATGTGTTTGCCTGCTGAACACATTCCCAGTCTTATAGGACTGAGAATATTGTGGAAGCTCTGCTTGTACCTGATGCATGCATTTCCATTTGTTTATCTTTTTAGTTGGATAGAGAGATGTTTCTATACTGAAACGCTGTCATGTATCACTGCGAGTACCTGTATTCCTATTGCTGTTTGAGCAAAAGTGGAGTTTCTGTTTCCCTGTAATGCCTCTTGAATCAGATTCCATCTAAGCACAATGTTGTCCTACTAATAGTACTAAAGAAGATAGCTACAGGGTCATAGTTAATCTACCTGATTGAATTTGGCCTCTTAATGATCAATGTTCATCTAGCTTCGAGGGTTTATGTACTATTTTGTAACAGCTAGGAATTGCAGGATGCAACTTGACATCCTGTGTTGAGGCACCCATTAGTATTTGAACATTACTGTAGATGTTTGTAACAATTCCAATGGTTTGGATCAATTCAATTGTATCTACACTAAATTATGGTTGCACATGATGAATTTCACCTAACACTTTGTATGGACAATCATTTATGCTCTATTTTCCTTTAGGACAAGAAAACGTTATTCCATATATCCAAGTGAAATGAACTCCTTTCCCTTAATTTGTCTCTTGATTGAAATCAATGTATCTTTTTCCTTTTATAGGTATATGATGTTACTTCTTATTTGGACGAGCATCCAGGAGGTGATGATGTGGTGCTTGCAGCGACAGGTAATGATCTTATACTTCCTGACTAATAATTTTCTTATTGAATTTGGAGCTAAGAGTGTCCAGATTATGACATAAATGAATCCCCTAGGCCCTAAGTGACATGCTTTCAATAATTTCCTTGAAGGGAAAGATGCAACCGATGATTTTGAAGATGCTGGACACAGCAAAAGTGCTAAAGAGCTTCTGCAGACCTTTTGCGTTGGCGAGCTTGATGCATCCTCCACAATCATCCCTGAACTTGAGATTTCCTCCAAGAAGGAAGCAACCAATTACTCTCAGAAGCTCATGGACTTGACAAAGCAGTATTGGACCATTCCTGTGGCAATTGTTGGCATCTCTGTGGTTGTTGGGTTCTTATACCTGCGTAAGAAGTAAAACAATTTGGTTTTTCCCCTATTGGCTGCTGAAAGGGAAGTGTTACTCCAAATTTTGGATAATTAGATGGATAATGATTAAGAACATTTACCCATTGTTATTTTTAAGATCTGAAGGTAGGATTTGATCATTGATTATCTTCATTAATAATACATGCACGATAGGATTGAAAAACAGGGAAAATACTATGTATTAATACTTGGGATGAAATGAGTAGTAGCAATACCTAAAGGAGCATAGCATTTTATACAACAGATCGAGTTATCATCTTCTGCCTCAATCTAATAAGGTGACTCCAACCCTGAATCCCTTTCTACCTATTCCTTGATAAATCAGAAGGCTAACGCACTGAAATCCTATGCAACTGATCATTCCCTTGCCCTTGGTTGTTCTGTTTGTCTCCTGCTTCTGTTTCTTCTTCTTTCACTTCCAAGAACGGTATTTCTTCTAATTCTTCTTCTGGACTTCCAATGATATTATCATAAGAATACCGAGTGGAGACAAAAGCATAGAGAAAACAGTTTAACAGGGCCAGCATGACATATGCGCGATAGATATAATCCAAACGACTTTGGTTTATACTATCACCAAGCCAGCTTTCTCTATATCTGGATTCGCTGTAGTAATCTAGAATAACTACGAATCCTACGTTAAGTATTGTTCCAAATCCTGTGAGCGTGCTAGTAAATACAGGTCCATATCTCCTTGAATCTGGAGCATAATGACCAAAGAAATCCTGGATGCCATCGCCAGCTAATCCTTCCATTGCACCCAGGAAAAAGAATTGCAGAAGCAACCAAGATGCGGTAATGGGAGCAGGAGCTTCTGGATCATTTGACAGCCCCTCTTGTCTCAGAGCTTTTAACCGTTTGGACTCAACTGATGATGCAACAGCGCAGCATATTATAGAGGCCAACATACCAATGCCAATCTTCACCCCATCAGAGTACCGTCTTTTTATTCTTGTTATTCGTTTTTCAAACACCATTTTATACCCCCTATTGACTGAAATTTTAGAAATCCATTGGATCATCTGCAGAACTACAACTGGGATACCACCGCTCATTGTGTTTGCCTGCTCAATGAAGAAGGTATTACCAAGAGATTTTACCATGCCATAAGCGATGAAAGTCACAGACATTGGAATAATATTTAACAGAAGTTTTGTTTGCTCTACTTCTCTCACTGTGCAAAGTTTCCATCTTTTTAATTCATCATCGGCAGCTGATGGCTCTTTCACTGCTGCCTTGTTGAGCCACCTGTCTTTAGGGAAAACATCCATAGTTAAAATGTACATTTATTGAACAAATTAACACAATGAACGAATCATGAAAGTAAAAGTGCAAAATATTATCCGAGGAAACAATCATAGGGGCTGTAAAAAAACTAGAAGGGAGAGATCAACTCACTCAAGATGGTCTGTAGGGTCTTGCTTTTGATCGTCTCCATCACCACGATGAAATTGGCATGGATTTTGTGGGTAATTGAGACCCCTCTTCCGCACTGCGGCAATCAAGGCACGTAGCATAGTTGAAAGAGGACTTGGTTGCAGTCGACGAGGTCCATAGAAAGTGAAACCACAAACAAACCAAAGTAAACCAATTACCATGGCAATGGCTGATATCAAAAAACGCTGATGCCAGTTGTCTTGGAAAGAGATAAAACCATAGAATGATGTTATGGTTCCCAGCATCATGAATACGAAGCAAAGCCATCTGATTACTCTCAGCTGCAATTCCCGCCAGCCTCCTATTTTAACCTTAAACTGACAGCATCCAATTTTAACCCTTGTTGCTGAACGGTGTTCTTCTGGTACTCTTACAACCTTGGTTTGGTCAAAAGAAAGGGATTAAAGGGGAATGACTTGTGCAGCCCCACCAATAATCAGAAGAGCTAATCCTTCCCAGAATGGTGTATGTTTCAACTTTTTAAAACAGTAATATTTAACTTTCTCGTCACGAACACATTCTTTTTTTTTGTTGAAAAAGTATTCAGGCACTGAGAATGCTAAAAGGCCAAGTCCCTGCATCAAAGTTGCAATATTTAGCAACAATCTTCATTTCTTCTCACCAAAAGGGAAAAAACATCTATATATGTTCTACATCATGAAATTTGACAATTGAATAAAATGTATAAGGTACATTTTCAAGAAAATAGCCCACAATATCATATTATATGTAGTAGGGAGATATGAATGCTATGCTAATACTAAACAAGTGACATTTTAGGATGCAAGTTCAAGAAAAAAAATATAGGAGACGATTGTGTGGAAGAACTTAGACAAACTTACAGCAGAATATAGAAGACTAGAAAGAATCAACATCCATCGATACCCAAAGAAAGTATCGATGCAGAAGGCAACATGAATCTGCAACATGTTCCTTAGACCCTCTTGAAGATTGACGATTGCTGCAGCTTCCTTTAGTTTCAACTTCCAGATATCCGTGAGGAATGTTATGAGGTTGTCCAGCACGTAAGTCATCAGGCCCTTGCCGAAAAGCAGACCTATATATATAATATGACCAAATTAAGAAATATTATTGTTGAGTTAGCTGCCGAGAATTATAAATGAATTATTTTAGTATTATATATTCTCTTTTCTCCTTGTTGTATCTATATACATATATATTAGTGCATCATTTTGAAGTGAAAATTGCTTTCTTTAGGATTTCTTTTGTTTAAACACTTCACCGTTGTAGAGTTAGTTGATTCAAGAGTTAATGGAGTTACCAGTAGCTCTAGATTGGGTTTCATCAAATTGTCATAAAAATTGTTCACTTTGATTGAAACAATAATTAATTTAATTTTCTTTCAACTCTTATCTTAATGCATATATATACATATATATATATGATTAATTTATATCTCAATATTAATCTTTCTTAATTGAATAAATTTCTCACTTTATTTATCATCCATGTAATTGAATAACCTAATGTGAATTATTCTAAGTAAAGAATTATCAAGTAAAGTAAAATTAATTGTTTTTAGTGACTTCTTTCAAGTTATGACAAAATTTATTGGAATTATTTTTTAAATTATATAGGTATTATATAACAAGTTTGTTATTATAAAAATTGAAATTTCTTAAAAAAAACATGACAAGGACAAATGTTTGAAATTTATTTTGTTTTATTTTTATTTTTAGATTTTTATTTAATCAAAAGTTATACATAATAAAAAATTTTAAACAAAAGAAAATTTAAGCCTTCAATTATAAAACATATAATTGTATTCAATTGATGGTTATTGAAAACATCAATAGAAGATTATTTTAAGTAAAAAAATGAGACGAAAGATTGACTGGTTATGTATAGCTCTATATTCTTAATATGATATATGATGTTTCAATAAAAAAAAATACAAATGTTGTGATTTCAAATTCTTTAGAATTAATATGAAACTCTTTTATTAAAAAAAATATTGCATAATCTTTTATTTTTTTTCCTTTATATCAGTTGAAAAATGTTCATTATTGTATCAAAATTTTTAAAGTTGTCATATTAGAAAATATTTGTTCAAAAGAATTAATGCGAATTATTTTAAGTAAAGAATTACCAAGTGAAGTAAAATTAATTATTTTTGAAGAATTCTTTCAAGGTATGACAAAATTTATTGAAATTATTTTTTTAATGTGTTTTTACCAAAATTATATTCATTCATGAAACTTGATATTGTTAATCCTGAAAATAAAATCATTATAAATTATATAGGTATTATATAACAAGTTTGTTATTACGAGAATTGGAATTTTCTTAAGAAAACATGACAAGTACTAAGGTTAGAAATTCATTTTATTTTATTTTAATTTTTAAAATTATGTATTTTTATATTTTTATATAATAGAAATTTATATATAATAAAAATTTTCAAATAAAAGAAAATTTAAAATTTTAATTGATAGAATATATAATTACATTTAATTGATAGTTATTAGAAGCACCGATAGAAGATTATTTTAAACAGTAAATTGAAACGAATTATTGATTATGTATAACCATATCTTCTCCATATGATAAAGAATATTAGTGCTTTATGATGTTTTAATGAAAAAATACCAATGTTTTGATTTCAAATTTCTTTAGAATTAATAAGAAACTTTATTTATTAAGAAAAACATTGTATGCTTTTTCATTTTATCCTTTATAACAATTAAAGAATATTTATTGTTGTATAAAAAATTTTAAAGTTACCATATTAAGTAATATTTGTTCAAAAGAATTGATATTGATCAAATTAATTAATATAAATTATAATTTAAATAAACTTAAAAGTGATTTATGAAATTAATTAGCAAAATTCATTTGATAAATCTTTATTTAATTGTGTATTTAGTATTTCAATTATTTTAAATTTGACTATTTATAATTTGGAGTTGGGTTTTAGACTTATGATTGGTGACTAATTAGATTGAGTCAAATTTTATCATTTACTTTTATTTATAGTGTACTTAATTATTCACTTGCACTCTAAGCAAATTTAACTCAATAATTAGTACATGTTTTTTTTTTTTGTTTAAAAAGTTGGATTTGTCCTAAATCTAAATAAAAAAAATATACTTAATTACTTGTAATTGCAATTTTATTTTAGAAATATTTTTAAAATTAATTAATTAATTCAATCACAAAAATAATAAAAATAAGATATTGAAAATGAAGAAAAAAGTTTAAATAATGAACTTTCAAATCGTTACAAAAGATGAATAAAAAATATTGTATTCTGATTGGGTTATTATATCAATTTGAATTTTGCTTATGTTCAGTTATTTCAGGTTTTAAATAACTACTAAGTTATTGACTTTTTAAAATTAATTGAAATTGAGTCAAGTTAGTTCACTTTTATAATTATGTATATTATATTATTTTTAATTAAATTAAAATTTAAAATGAGTAAAAAATATATTTATACTGAATTTGAGTTTTGAATTATTTTAAGTTTGAGTTGATTAATTAATATTATTTAAGCTATACTTTTATGATATTGGTAATAAACTTCAAAATAAAACAACAATATAACAAAACAAAAATTTAAGTGCAAAAATGATAGTGATATTAATGATAATTCCAGAAAAAAATCCTTATACTCAAGTCTTATAGAGATTAAAAGATATATATATATATATATCTTCTTTTAAGGATTTTGAAATTCTTATTGTATAAATGTTAACCTAGATCAATGATTTTATGCTAATTCATTTGTTGACCAAGTTATTACTATATGGGTTGAGGTAAATAATTGAAACATTTCAATG